TGTGCGCATTTGAGTTTGGGGTAACATGGGCTGTTTAAAGAGGAATGTAATCGATGTGTGCGCAGATGAGGCGAATCATGTGTGCGCATTTGAATTAAATATATAACAAAAGTCTGTGTGCGGATTTGAGGGGAATTATGTGTGCGCAAATGAGGCGCCATCCTGCACAAGCCAGTAGGGCGTAACATGCCACGGTGTGAATGGTGTTTGACAGTTCTTTGCCCAAACAGCTAGTTACTGGATGCCTTGGTTAGACCCCAGAGTCGAACCACCCGTTTTCCAGTCTTCCTCCATGCATCACGCAGCAAGCGTTGATGCATCCAAGGAATGGCGCCTCGCATGCACGAAGAGATGCTACGGTGATGTAAATGCTTGTGGTGAGCCCTCATGTTTTGTATGAGGACTCCAAAATCCATCAGTGGTTATTGAAACAAACTTACACCTGATGGGACTTGACTCAGAAATTTGGAGAATTTGAAGATGGTGGGAATTGAAGATAGAGACTCTTTTTCATCCGATCTGTCTCAGCATCTCGGCAAGGGAGGTGATGCCCAGACTTGTTTTATCTCACCCCAGATCTTCCATGGAAGTCTCCTTTAAACTGCTGAACCTGTCCCTTTGATATACACCAAGTTCGGAGTAGATGGCACAAACTCAATGATCTCGGCAAGCCACACATTAAGGCACTGTTCGAAAACCGCAAACCTCACTCGTTCGATTCTTACGTTTCTTCAGACCTTCGCCTTGCCCAGGAGGCTCACGCCAAGTATGGGACCTTCCAGTTGGATCAGCGCCACTGGGACGCACCAACTCTCTCGCCGTGGCGGTCGAGGTTGATTTTGCTGGTGAGCAATGGTGAGTCATGAAAGGCAAAGAGATGGCAACAGCGTATGATATATAGAGATGTAGTTAAATTTTCAATACCTGTCATTCTACTCGTATGTTGGATCTTGTTTGGCTGATCCAGTTACTGCTATTAGTTGGAAACCAGTGGCTAGTCAAGTTTGAGCTTTTTGATAGCTCCATGTGACGTGAACCAGTTGATCTTTGGGAGATGTGGGGACGCGCTTGGAGAGAAGTACTCGTAAGATCTAAGATGGGCCACAGCTCTTTACCCCGAAACAAGTGTTTCTGAGGGCGTTGGAACTGCAAACCTGTTTTGCCACGTTGGGTTCTCTCATGTTTGTGAGGAGCAGCGGCTGTTGGGATTTGGAAAACGCGTGGGTGAGAGCTGTGAACCAAGGAGATGAGCAAGGTCGCCAATATGCCGTTCGGAACTCAGTCGGACAAGGAACAGGCAGTGGTCTCACCGCACCAGTGTCGAAGTGTGCGCAAGAAGTGTCAACATAAGTGCAGCAATAGCACACATGTACATATGTACAGTTGTGATCAGCTGTGTATACTACGACTGCCAAACGACTTTCGGCTCAAGCCCATGCTAGCGGGAAAACAAGCACGCAGACTGCTACATGGAACTTTGAGGTGGTCATTACAATCATTGTTGGATATTTTGACTAACACCCACTCTCAGGTTATCAGCCGTAGCATTCTCGCTAATTACGAGCTACGTGGACACCACATCCACATCGACCTGCAATGTCAAGCTCTGGGAATGCAAGCGAGCCCTTTTCCTTTGCAGCACCAGGAGGAGCTCACAGTCAACTCCGGAGTCAGGAATGACCGGCGGTGCTGCTAGCTCAAATGACGCCACTGTTATGACTGCCAACCGGCTCAATCGTCTCAGGGGAAGGGGTTGCCGCGCCCCTGGTCGGCAATATAGAGGCACCCACCGATGATCCAATGAGACAACGGCAACGCGAGAATGTCAACTATGAGACGCTTGGCCACATCAAATCATTGAGAAGCCATCCGCGAAGCCGTCGGACCAGACAGAAGTATAGAGTAGTATGGAGAAACCGAGAAAGAGCGTGATCAAGACTTCAAGGATAACGTCAATAGAGGATCAGCTTTGCCCGCGACTAGCCATATCTGAGAGCGTGAAGAAGAGGTGGAACATGCAGAGGAGGACAAGCTTTACTATCGGGAAGATGTATAGCTGGTATGATACTGCGATGCGAAAGATGAGGTTGAGGAGCAAGAAGCGAGAGCTGAAAAGCTCGAGCAGGAAGCTGCATCATCGTCATTTGTCAGTACTGCGCTTTGACAAAGACTACGCATGCCAAGGAGGGCAGCAAATGAAATTGAGAACGAACGAAAAACCTTTGGCAGTGATCCGTCTCAACTCCGGTGGACTAGGCCGTTGGAAACCCAGATTCTTAGATGTCTGTATAAAATATTATATATATAACCACAAATGGTGATGGTGATGTTCACATTTGACACACACAATCCCACATTGGAGCGGTGGTTCTTCCCGTTCCTCATCAAAACACCCTTCCCGTTTTCCCTCAAACAATTTCCGCGCCAGTCCTTGGAGAACTTGGGTGCTGTCCATTGAGGTAGTGAGGCATGTGAACGGGCGATCTTTTTTGTCGCCTGAGCAGCGTGTTGCAAGGGGCTGGACAGCTACGCTACGCTTCGCTGCCTGAAAAGACTGCCTTGCCGGTTACTCTAAAGGAGTTGGGGGGGATATCTGGGTGAGACTCTCAGAACTCACTTGCCCACGGTGCATCATTAAGTTTGTTGTAAATTGTAGTAGTCACAGTCCACCGCTAGTTTGCAAGTTTTTGATCACAACCCGACCTTCTTGGCAGGTTGACAGGGCGTGCTGGATTGGTTAAACATGATGTGTGTATCGGATCTGAAGCTGTGCAGATCAAGTGCCATGTCAGTGCCAGAGCTGGGGCCGGGGGGAGGCGTGTCAACGGAAGGGACATGACGAAAGAAGGGACATGACGAAAACAGTGATATCGTGGCATATTTGGCCCTGTGAGGAACAGGAGGAGAAGGAGGAACCGAAGATGATGGAATGTGTATATTCCTACGTCCCTTGTCCACCTGTGTCCACAAACATCTCCACATGACGTCCACGGTCCACAATGTTGACAGTTTTGTTCTCCGTATCTTCCATAGTTTTTGACGCTAAAGTGAAATATGGCCACCGGTGAGTCGGTGAGCATCAGGACTTCAACACTTACTGCACTTGTTGACAGTCGTTGCTAAGCCAAACATCATATGAATGCCGAAAGACACCTGCCGAAAGGTGTGCCCCAGGCGGTTTGGCCTCAATTATGATCCGCCAGCCATCATCCTCGAATACCTTGAGGCGGGCGCCGCAAACTCGAGGGCCGAATTGCAAGAACATCGTGGTAAACATTCAGACGTTTTTACGGCAGAGCATGTCATCGGAGTTCGAGCTCTATGACGAGACGAGGTTTCATGATCCACTCCTAGGTGACAGAACGCAGAGACCTCTGACACTATGACAGGCTGCGAGAAAAGTAACCCAGCGTCGATACTAGAAGATCATCCACATCCTGTCACATCCTTCTCATCCACATCCTTCTTACATCCTTCTGACTCTGGCCGGTCAGGTCAGCACTGGCAAGCTGTTCCACCGCAAGGCACCGACCGTCTCATCGCGGCGACGGGATCGTCGAGGGGATCGTCGTTGCGAAGCGCGCAGGTTGCGATGAAACGGCTGCGAGCCAGCACAGACCCTGCGAGGATAGCTGAGAAGCTGGAAGCCTCAGGGGATGAGAGACGGAAGGGAAGGTCGACCAGTTGGGAGGATCAAAGAACTCAGATGTTCTTGACATGGGAGTTCTTCCCTCAAGAACTCATTTCATTAGACTGACTGCTGGTTGCTTTTTCAATTTCGGAGCCAGTCTCAACGGCTTAACGCCGCAACGCCAGCTACTCGGGCCTGCTATGTGTCTGGTAAGTACCCTCCTTTCATGATCGGACCTCGTTTGGCCTGGCCTTTTCCACGTGGAGGGCCGTCCCTTTGAAAGTCTCTTCAATGTGGAACGTCGGACCAACATGGGTCTCGATGATTTGAACCGATTTGATTTGTTCGACCTCCATTCCTCAGATGTTTGTTTGCTTGCTTGCCTGCCTTGCTTGCTTGCTTGCTTGTGTATTTGTGTGTGTGTGTTTCATCAACCGTTGCAGACAGCATCTCTTCAGCCCAATACTTTTCACAGTTCTAGGTTCTAGGGGGGGGTCCTGGTAAAGACTATGGTCCCAGACTTTGGCAAGCACAAGCAGCTGTCAGTCATTACAAGCAGCTCTTTCCACCCCAACTACATCTAAATACCATGATGAGGGATGGCTGTCACATGACTACCAGCCACATGACTACCATCTTCCCAAATGTTCACTGAGGCTACGGCAGGTGAATCGGCCTTTGCTCACCGAGGAGCCATCGCCGCCATGGTCGGGAAGTGTGTGACGTCCCACGGTGCAAGTCTCTTCAATTAAGATAGCTATAGATCGCCTTGGCATTTTTGGGCTTTGCCATGCTGAGTGATGTTGAGGTCACTACAAATAGTTGGCAGAGTGCGAGTGCTAGTTGGGGAGTCTTTTAAAAGTAGAATTTGTTTGGTGTCCCAAAGGGGAAAGCAGATGAAACCTGATGCTTCGGGGGGTCTTCAGAAACACATCCAAAATCATGAGTAAGAAGGGGGGTCCCCAAACATGCTCAGGAATTTTGAAAGACCCATTGGCTGAGGATCTCGCCATTTGGAGTTGGAGCCACTTTAGGATCAGCATGGTTGACGCAGCTGATTCAGTAATATTGGGATTCAGGGGCCTTTCCAAACCATGCTTCTACGGGTGAAATCGAATATACATGCACAGAAAGGCATTAGTTCTTGCAAAAGGTATATCGAACACAAATGAAATGTTAAACAGGTAAACAAGTGAGCAGGGACAGCATGGGAAAGCTGAAAGAAGTGAAACAAGGCCAACGAAGAGCTCTGAAACCACGGGTGAGTCTCTTCTGCAAACAATGGCAAGACCGGTTCGTCTCTTCGGTGGAAAGCAACGAGGCCGTCAGCCGAAGGATTTGGAGGCGAACCATTCCATCAGAAAGGCGAACGGTTTGTTTCGCAGTTTTGGGTTTGGAGACTACGTCTTTGGGTGTACACAGACAGGGTTTTTTTGCCCTGAATGACTTGTTTATGATTCTCCTGGATGGACTAGGGGGGACCAGTTTCCAAATACTTTTCCTCCCTTGGCCCTGACATGTACATACACACCCTCTCCTTCGATCTTCGCACGAGGATAATGGAGTGGCCTTCGAGCAAATCGTTTCCCTCGCATGGGCCTCAAAGCCTCAAAGGGTCCACTGCGAAAACGTTCAGAACTGCCAGGCTTGTTCCTCAGACCTCTGAAGACACCACTGTGACTGTGAGGTCAAAAAGCTCCAAGAAGCTATGCCAGAATCTTGGGATTCTGATTTCTCTCAGTTGAACTTTGCACGTGTTTAAGTCCAAGATCATCGCTTTAGCACACATGTCTTTTCCGCAAGAGAGCAAGAGACGATGCAAAGAGGGTTGTCACGAAGCACAGATCGTTGAGCAATGCTTATCTGACAAATACAGCAGCAAGCAACACCGTCGAAGCAATCAGGTTCAAAGGCGGTATATGATTCTAAAGTCCACTTCGTTGAGGGTGTGGTTTACACTTTAACACACACACACACATACTTGATCACACTTGGATTTGAGGTGGGGTTTGACACTTTTATACTAATAGACTGTTCTGCTTCGGGTAAATACAGATACAGTTATAGTTGGGATATGTATATATATATATATACTCTACTGGTAGATGGGGTGAAGTCGCACCATGACGATCGTAGCTGGCTCATCAGGAGTCGCCAATGAATTGGCGACTCCTGACATCGCACGATCAAGCATTTTGTTTGGATGTTTTGAAATGAGATCCACATCTGCAGAGGGACTTATCAAATCTAGGTAAAACTTTGGTCAGGTCACTTTTGTCACTGGGTCTTGTATTCACAAAGGACAACTTAAAACCGTTAAGAGTCAAGAGTATTAGATTATTAGAGCTCAAGAGTTCCAGGCAAAAGTACTCGACCATGGACAGCTCCGCCGACCTGCTCGGGATCTCAGAGATAGCTTCACCAGTGCACCACAATCACTGACGCAACAGATTGCTTTAACTTTTGTTGTTGTTGTTGTTGGGTAATTTCCTTGTAGTTGCAGATATGTTATATGTTTTGTTGAAAGTTTCAGGATGGTGGCTTTACCAAATCTGTGGGCATTTGTGGCTTTGTGGACTCAAGATGATGAGACGATCATGGCCTTGATGGATGTCATCCAGAGTCACCTGAAGGCCCAGCATATCACGCAAGACCAGAAGGCCTTAGGAAGTATTGACAAATCCTAGGCTCAAGGAGTTCAAAAGGAACATGTTTGGTCTTCCAGTATTGGACCCTCAAGTACTTATAGATATAGATAATCCGCTTCACATGGTTCCAGGTCGTGGATGGTGCTCAAACGGTATAGAGAGATATCATTGGACCCCTCGTTGTCCTCAGTCACGGCCGTCCCATGGCCATCCGTGTCACCTTTGGTGATGGCTTTGAGCAGCCGGAGGAGAGCGCAGCTGGAGCGAGCCTAAACAGCCCAGTCGCAAGTGCTGATGGCTGATAGCGATTTCCGTGTGCCCAAAGTATCACGGCCCCACAAAGGCCCTTTTGCAGGTTTTGCTAGCAGCCCAGGAGGCTACAAAGAGCAGTGCAGGTGCGTTTGGTGCAGGTATTTCCAAACATTTGTTGGATGGTGCGAAGGTGTCAAAACACCTGCTCGTACTAGTATTAATTGAGTGCACACCAAGGCTTCACCTATCGTTTGACCCCCCAAACCACAGGGTCCCCACCCGCCGCCGAATCGCGCGGTGCCGAAGGGTCGAGTTGCGACAGGAGGACGCTTGCAGTCACTTCGAGCGACTGCTGCCTGCGACGGCCACGGTGAGGGAGCTGCGCGAGATTCTCGCCACCTGGGCAGGCGAGAGAAGATGAGAACCAACCGGAGAAGCGGAGAATGAAGCGGAGAGTCCTACCGGTGGGTGATGAGTGGATATATTGGGATTACAATGGGCAGAATGATGCAGAATGGTTTTCTTCTGATTATCAGACATTAATGCATTGATTGGAGTCTGGAGTCAGACAGCTATGCGTGTAAAAGTTTACCCTTGGTCGATATTGTACTGTAGGGGACATTCTTTCTGGGACGGTCATGGTCATTTTGTGTTCTACTCTTGGATTAGTTGGAAGTCCAACTGTTCTACAAAGTGCACAGGGGAGTCTGTCGAAGGAAGAGGTGCACCCTTGCTTTCAAGTTGTGAACGACACTGTGACATCATAGTGGATGAGGATAGAGTACAGCTTGTTTTTGGTTTTATGGAAAAAAACGGTTCTCATGATATATATACATGCATATATTATATATCCGGCCCAATAGCAGCTAGGCTAGGCTATGTCTTTTGGGCGAACGATGAAACATCCAAACGGCTCGGTCGCCCAACGGCCAATCGACACGGTTTCTCCAGGCTTCGGCACGCACGGGATCGACTCCTTCGAGCCTCGGTTTGGTCGACAGCGGGTCGCCCGTCTGACCGGACGGCGGACCCATCCGATGGAATCGGTGGGTTTGGTTCTGCGGAACAACGCTGGGTCTTTTTGGAGAAGGGCCGTGAGGAAACGCGGGCGGGTGACTGACCGTTCTTGGGACTCGATTTGAGAGAAGCTCACGGTGTCGGGGCAGGTGTTGGGCGTGCGGAAAGACGTGCTCTGTTGGGCGTGCGGTTGTTCATTGAAGTCGACTCGGAGCGTTCCACTCCAATACAAGTTCCATCTCTCCCCCCAAGTTCCATTAGGCGCATTAGGTCCTCGGTTCGGCCCAAGGACCTCGCTGCACCCTTCACCTCTGCGACACCCTGGCAAAGCACCTTTGGCCGCTGCAGCCGGCCGCTGCCAACAGCAGATGGTACCATGAGCCTCCGAGAGTTAGCGTCTTGGTGGAACATGGTGGAACAATCGGGGTTTCTTCACAGAAAAATCCCCTGGTAGGGCCTGGTAGGGTTGCAGGTCTTTGCCTGCAGACGATGTTCTTTGGTCCTCGAAGGTCTTGTGTCATATGAGGGTTTAAGAGCGCGGTCGCTTGTTCCGCGCTCTTTTTTGGCGGAGTGCTCTTTCTTTTTTGACTTTTTGAGGCTAAATGCTTGTTAGAGTCAGAAACCCGTTCATGTCCTCAAAAAGTTTAGGGTCCCACGTGTCATGGCGAACAGGTTGAGATCATGATCGCAGATGGTGGATATGCCGGGGCTGCTCAATGGCAATCAGCCGCCATGATATATGATGTTTAGTGACGAACAAACGCCCTAACAATTCAAGTGGCTTGGCTTGGTAGACCATTTTGTTGTACGTAGTATTATGGGGAAAGGAAACTAAACTAATCAAGTATTATGACTTACAATTACAAGCAATACAGCATGTTCATAATTCATTGTGTGTCTTATTCATAGCTTTCGCAGGTGCCTTACGACGCTGCGCCTTTGAACTTTGAACCCTAAATGGCCACCTGTCGTGGTGCTCACGTGTCCCACTGCTCCCATACTGGTTTCTTTGATTGCTTTTCAGAGGTTATTCCCAAATCATTGCTGTCAGATTCCAAGCAGAGCACTCTGTGCTATACTGGGCTATACTACAGTAGTTCCTTTTCGTTTCACAGGTCGTCCCACTTCTGTCCCCAGCCGCGATTCTCCTCCCACCGCCGCGGGGTCGAGGTGGACAGCTCGAGCCTGGCCGTGTTTGTGCAGTCGCCCAAGTGCCCCGTCTGCGGCGTCAAGGGCAGCACCTTTGGGCGGGCGGCTGGCTGTTTAGCCGCCTACGGCGGACGTGGGAGTTGGGATGCCTGGGGGTGGGCTGGATGTTGATGGACAAAGGGGGGTGTTGATGGAATTTACCATCTCAAGAAGTTGTTGATGGAAAGATCCTGAAACAGTTTTTGTGAATGATTCCTGGTGTATCCTGGCGTGCGTTTAGAGGGTGTGTTGTGCTTAACGCCTCATTCTCGAGGACGCCCAGATCCGTCGAGCGGGCGTTCATCAGGTTTCGAGGATGCTGGAGGCAACGTGATCTACCAGGTGGGGCACAGGGCACAGTGTGGCAAGTGTTTCTTGGCTTCGTTGGGTCCAACGTGTTCGTCAAAGGATATCAGGGAAAATGAGCTTATGAACCTCTATTTGTTTATGGCAAAAAAAAGGCGGAGCCTCTTCTTGTACCAGTTCGAGCCAAACCCATCTCACATCATCCGCATCCCACGAGTTCCCCCAAACACCGACACTTCCCTAGGTTGGTTGGCAGAGCTGGCTGACTCAGCTGACCAGTGAGTTCTTCCATGTCCTCATCGATGTTCGGCTTCATCGCAGATTGCAGGATCTTCGGCCTCTGGAACCCCACGATCTCAGCGGCCCTGAGCCCCTCAAGCTGAGCTCGCACGATCTCGCACGGACCCAGCTGGGCCCAGCTGGATGATTCATGGGCGGTAGTGCCGGCGGTTGAACTGGAGAAGACGAGCTTTCAAGCTGCGCATGGCCCGTGTATGCGGTCCATTTGGGAAGTGATCGCCTGGTCGACCGAACATGAGGCAAGTGGTTTTCGGAGAAAGGGAGAAAACATCACTGATGCCTGAAAAAAACAATAATTGGCGAGAATGCGCATGCAAGAGATGTAAGAGATGTGGGAAGCAGGTGTTACTACATATCACAACCCCAGACCTGTGGGTCCTACAGGACCATGCAACGCAGGTCCAGGGACGTCCAGGGAGTCCAACTGCCTAAGCCCAGGGTGCAGGCGGTCTGGGACTTCTTTCAGCCCTCTGTGGATTGGGATTTTTCGGCATCGCCGTCTTAACAGTCTTGCGCTCTGAACGGTCTGGGACCAGTGCGGTCGGATGGGACCCGGTTAGCGCTCGGCCGAGAAGGGCATGCGGAGAAAGTGGAGACGAGCGCTCAGGGGAGGTACTGAATTGACCATGATTACCCAAACGCATTCCATTGGAAGGGCAAAGACATGGCAAAAGGTGTTTAATTCACACAGATCATTCAACCTCATGCATCCTAATGGCACCCTCGCTTTTTCAACCCCACGCACCCCCAAAAGGGCGCCCACGTGCGCCCACGACGCGCCGTAAGAGTCCTCTTTGAATCACACCCCGCGAGGCGCCTCGCGTGGTGCGTCCAGCTCGAGCGCGCTCGCCCACGGGCCGCCCCGAGGTCCCCCGGGTCCGAGGAGATTGACTATCACGAGGCCAATCTGAACAAGCTCAGCGACGATGAGCTGGCCAGACACAAGGCGCGGAGGTGGTGAAAGTGTCCATCATTGCTGGATCCCTGGATCCCTCGTTTAGAGATAAGCCATGACAAACCCAAATTGTTTCTGCTTGTTCAGAAGCAGGGGGTTGCTACGTTCAATGGTTTGGGCGATTTAGGTGTTTCGTTGCATATTTAGGGTTCGTGTTTTCTCATAGCTTCATCTTCCTCCACGACATGCTTAAGGGACCAGGTGTGCAGGATTGTGCAGGTGTCCTGTCTTGAACTAGAACACTTCCAGTTGCTTTGGGAAGTGGTTTCAGACGGTGTGTTGCTTGGACATCCATAGCCACTTCAGCATGAGGCCCGGATGAATTCCAGTTTCCTGGCCAACCAGATGAAGCCTGGTGACAATGGCTACGTCTACGATGCCTCTTGACAGCACGTTGTTTTGGTTCCAAGCGTCAGTGTCAGGCGCTCCTCCCTGCTTTCCTTCCTCCTCCAGTCATCTCCAGATCAATCACCTCCGCGCATCGTCATACAGTACCGTCGCTCAATTTTTCAGGGTGGGGATGTTCGATATATGTTGTTTTGTTTTTCATCATTTCGCTTTGTACCGCCAGTAGTTGTTGGCCGGCACTTGGGCAATCAGCCAGCGGAACAGGAAAGGAGTCTCTTGGCCAGCGGACGTGGGGATACCAGGCACAACCATTGTGCGGCCATTCGGTAGCGATGTTCGATGTGTTTGGCGATCTCCGAGTTTGATTGATGATGTGTTTCGCGTGTCTCCGAGAACTAGCGATCCACCGTGTGGGTATGATATGGCCTGATTGTGCTTCTTGTTCTGATGTTATTCCTGGAACAAGTGTCCATCCCGCCCAACAGAAAGCCGACCATCCTCTAAAAAGGCCTGGCAAAGAAAGCAGGGGGGCCGCCGGGGAGTACCCCCGACAAACAGATACAAAAAGACCAAAATCGTGAAGCCCGGCGGCACCCTGGTCTTTGATTTTGGGACTCTTTGCTTTTGGGAATCCAGCTGCCTTGGATTCTTCAGAACGTCCCAACGCCCTCCCAGCTTCACCTCTTCCAGAGCACCCGCTGCTTGATCTGCTTGCTTCCGTTCCAGGTGCGCGCGGACTTCGACGCGGAACAATCGTGTGGATGGGATTCGGACGAGGACGAGGACGACGAGGACAGGAGTCGAGTCCCGCTTGGGGACGTCAGACCAGACGAAGCGGCCACAGAGATCTGGAGACGTTCTTGGACCTGAAAGGGGCACAGGACCATAGGGATCAACACAAACACTTAGAGTATTCAATCATATTCAATCAACAAATCATAATATATCAATATGTATCATAATTACCCAATCAAATAAAGAAATAATCATCCGATCAAAACAGCCATTGCCCAATCAGCTGGTCTTCTGGTCCTTGGGTGCCCTGGTCCACTCATTGGATTGTAACATATTGTCACATGAGTCAGTGGGAAAATGAATCTCTTGGGATGCTAGGATCTATATAGAAGATTATAGAAGGTATTCGCGGCAGTTTTAAAATCATCTCAAGTTTAGCACCAGTCAATTCGTCCCTGCATTCGGTGCATACTCCTTGTCACATGATTCGGAACCTGTTTGTGCTTGTGGACCGTATAAATTGTATACTATACAACAATTGTATATACTGTATATACTTGTGTCGTTGGGCATTTGGAACACAGCCTTGGAAAACCCGTGAAAGCCGGTGGCCATCATGTCTGTGTTTGTATGTCCACCCTGCTCCGAAGGGCTCTACGCCGCATATGAGTCACTATTGCAAGCGATTCAATCCTTTAATGACACGACTTCTGCAGTGAAAGTAGCACGGGTGCCAGGGACCGTGCAAGTCTGGCACTAACAAAGACGCTTGCACTAGTATGTGATATCAACTCAGGACGCCGAGTTGGAACTGGGTTTTGTTCTTCTGCCATTTCGGAGGGACATTTCTGAGGTTTCAGGTCTCTTGCACTATTTAATTTGAGTAATGCTGTAACTAGCTTTAAAGTGCTAATGCATCGGTTGATGCAGTTTCTCAACTCGTGCTCATTCATTTGAGCTTGTTCTATGTGTGTGTGTGTGTGTGCGCGTGCATGTGCGCCTCTGTGTTCCAATTTCGGAGGAGTGAGAGTGCTCCTCGAAGCTGGTGGCACCAGATGACTCTGGCGACTGATGACCGGTGTATGAACGACACCAGTTTTTCTTACCACACCTTTCCTTCTCACCCTTGCAGGCAGACGACCTGCGGGATCAACAAAGATCTAGTGCCGAGCGCGTATGACATGCCGAAAGACATGCGAATCGCTCCAGACCGCCAAAACATGCAGCTGTGATGAGTGATGGGTTGTTTGCCAGTTGCCAACCTCATCACTGAAACTTGCAGGGCCATGGAAGTGAACCGAATATGACAAAGTAGATGGCCCTCACCTGAATCTGGGTCACCAGCAGCCGCAGTCTCCCTGTCTCCCTTCTGTGAGGCCCAAAATACAAACCGGACCTATAGGGGTTTCTCCTCTCTCCAGAATCCAACATGATCCAATTGGGACCCAACTGGGTTCTCAATAGATGTCATGAGTTCTCAGTTCCCTGGCCTCACGATGGTTCTTGGGAGAACAGGCCGTTTGAAGTTTGAAGCTCCGCCAACACCGCGTGCTCGTGCTCTTGGGTGGCACGGCGCTGACTCCACGCAGGCGCTGGAAGGCGCGACGTTGAGATTAATCCTGGGCTCGAGTAGGTCTCGGCCTCAGATGACCTATGATGACCTAGTCACCATCCGTCTTCTGCAGATCACGAGTTTTTGTCCAGATTCCTGAAAAAGAGCGGTGGATGCCACCACGTGGAGGAAACAGAATGGAACTGGAACATATGCACACATCATGCCACATCCCATTTCTTGACTTTCCAGGTTTCTTTCTCATCTTGCAGCGCCCATTGAAATGAGACGTATCCAGGATCCAGCTTTTTGCTGTGTTTTTTCGAACTATCTACCATTCTCTACCACCATGCATGATCTTGGCTGCCAGTGCCGTTGCAGAGTGCACAGGAAGGGGTTCGGACGGACCGTCAATTCATTCGCATGTCAATGTCATGGAAATCGCACCATTGGATTGGCCAGAACCACTAGCCACTACACAGCAGGATTGCAAAGCACTCCCTTGGTGCTTCCCCACGCATCCCATGATCGTGCTATGCCTTGGCCTTGACAAAGGCAGTACTGGTGGTGCTTCCACGTGAGGACTGCCCTTGCCCCAGTGCCAGTTGGGTGAAAGTCGGAGATGTGGATTGATAGTGCGTTCGTTGCAACGCAGGTGCAGATGAGAACTATAACTATAATTGACATAGGCAAGCCATGTTGTCATCCATTTGTCATTGTTCAGTAGTTGCTTCGTTCGAAATGTGAAACAGTTGCTGACAACCACAGGTCACAGGTCCCTCCACTGTCGTCTTGACACTGCGCGCTCTATCCGCCTCACATGGGATGGACTCCTCTCAGGTGTGCTGCAATACGTTATGGCTCAACGGCCACATGTCTATCGGCATCCCCAGGAGCGATCGGATGGGCGAACCGGGAACGGGGGGCAGGGATCCGTCCCCACGCCCGGCCCAGCCTGGTTCACTGAAGTCCGATTTGTTCAGACTCCATCTCCTCACGCTATCCTCATGTGCTCCTGGATTCAGACCTCCAAATCCCGTGTGAGACGTTCAGATCTGGAGGTCCCAGGGATGCGGTCCCCAACTGGGGGACGTGGTGGCCAAGACGCCCTTGGCGGCGCTGAGCGGCCCTGTTTGGCGGAATTGCGTGTGGAGCGAGCCGCAGGCCGGAGGGAGGGTGGGACAAGAATAGTAGGCTCAGAAGGAGGGACGGGTAGGCTGGTTGGATGAAGAGATGAATCAGGATCTGAAATCTTCTGAAAGGGTCAAACGGGACTCACCAGTGGGCCGCAATTTTCTGAAATGTTTCCACCTGGCAAGCTCTTTGTGCTCTTTGGGGGTCCCAATTCCAAGATACGGCTTTAGGGCCTTGTGACAAATGGTTATGGAGCAGTTCTTCAACTTGCAACTGACCGGGCGAGTTGCGGTACACAACAATGACCGACACCAGCAGAACCATGATGATCATGATGAATAATGGACCACCACCAGCAGTGCTACAGCCACCATCATCCCAAAGCCCGTGCCACGCACCATACCACCCAGGCTTTTGGATTTGGAAGAGGATAGACAGGGCGTTCGCGTGGCAAGCATGCGAGGAAGACCCTCCTAACTGGAGTTCGGAATCCTTTAAGATCTATTCTGCCACTGGCGAAAGACGACAGTTCTGCCCCACCTGTTCACCTCTTGATGCCGCCGTCGGATTCGATGGGTGTTCACCTGTGCTCATTTGCTCCACCTGTCGACAGGAATGCGATGGCCAACTAGAAGATCTCACTGGCGAGGAACCTTACATGGCACGAGCCTCAGGCGCCAATTGACCAAGACTTCATAGTAATGCTCGTTGTTACTAGTAGTGATGATGCACTTGTTACTAGTAGCGATGCACTTGTGTTTTGATGATTGTTTTTGTGTTCTTTTAGCTGCTCTGAGACCTTGCATGCACCAACTGCTGTCGGCAGTGCTGGAAACTGTTGAAGGGGTGCACCCGGTCATGCTAGGTCCACTTTTCGGGCGTTTTTAGGCCTTCGATGGTTTTCGATGGTTTTTGTGTAAACAAAGATGAAACGAATTGGTATTGAATGGTTTTGGTTAATTTCAGGGCTCCTTCCTTTCGGCTTCTGTTTAGACCTGAGATTCGACCCGAGATGCACCAACAGTTCCCTAATCACGAAATCATGGACCCGTCAAAAGAAGGGAACCAGTTTGGAAGCCTCAAGAAGCACCAGAAAACTGCGGGTAGGATGACCGCCTGTTCTATCCCTGATGGCTGATAAAATAAGATCAGCCTGTTCATTTCAGGGAAGGACATGGACATGGACCATGGACATGCCATGACATGCATTTCACTTGCATCGAAAGACCCTTTCGGACAACTGAACTCACCAAACCCTTTGGGACATGGACCCCATTGCCTCGTTGCTGCGCTGAGCTTCGCTTAAAAGTCGACGACGGCCACGGCACTGTGCTGAAGCTGAGACGCGTGGATGTGGGGGAGGTGGCGCAGAATGGGATTGGGAGGTTGTGAGACGTGTCAAAAGCTGGAGATCACGCGGAAGTTATTCTGATATACTGATTAGGGACCGGAAAACGAATGTATGAGGTGGTTCTGGAGATTAGCTGCAACACGCTGAAACATGAGATTTAGACCTTGTAAAATGTGTTGCCTCTATATCCTGGAGTCCTTTGGGCACAAGGAGCACTGTGCGGCGGCGCCCATTTCCTAGCCAGACGGCACAGACAGCAAAACATATCCAGCTCAGACGACATGTTGGACCGACTTCATCAGCAAAACAGCCCATGCCACCAATATCCCACCCATCAGATCTTCCAGCCATATCTGAAGATGGCGACTTCGCAGAAGCAGATCGCCCGGCGCGTGGCGGTGCTTCTGGAAGGCTCTCGTGGCGATTGTCAGCCCTATATGGTGGGCGCGCTGGCCTTGCAGAACGCGGGCTACGACGTGACGGTCTTTGGCACCACCGACTGCGAGGCCATGGCGAAGCTCCTCGGTGGCACACCAGGTGGGTGGCCAGGTGGCACACCAGGTGATGATGGTGATAGCTTTGGGGAGAATTCGGCCTGGAGACAGAGTTTCATGGTAAAGAATGAAAGACCAACTGCTGAATCACCAACTGAATAGTAGGACTTAATAGGACTGAATCACCGGGCAACATAAATGTACATTCAAGGGGGGGGTGCCCTCCCCTCTCCTCTCAATATACATTTCCCGGTCTCGAGATGTCATTCCCGGGGAAGAGAGATTATACATGTTTTACTTGGAAGTTGTAAGTTTCATTCTAAGATGATTCTGGATGTCCCCTGCCACTTTCATACACTTCCCTGCAAAAAAGAAGTGTCCTCACGGCGGTGAAAACCCCCCAGAATGCTGTTCAGAATCGGTTCTTACACTGTCAGAACAAATCAGTGTCCGGAATGTTCAATGATTTCCTAAAAAGTGTTTCGACCCCATGAGTTCATACATCTCATGTCTTTAGCCACCCCCTGCCTTTATGAAAAAACGGTGTTTCCAGAAACACCGAGGAAGCAAGTAACATATATAGAACATGTATATTGAATTGAGACATCCGTTTTCTATCTGTTCAACCCCCCTGTTCGAAAATGCCTTTTTCAACACCTGTCCCTGCCCATTTGCATACATTAGCAGAAATGTATGAAACATTATGAAACCACTCCCCTCCCCTCCCTGGAGATGGACCGGGTGATAGGACTGAATTTATTGGATATAGTCATGATATAACCACCGAGTCCAGTTGGTGGATCACAACTCAGCTTCCTGACCGAACATGACTAGGCCTGTGTCGTGTTTGTCTCATGCTGCATGGTGTGACCAGTTGCCAGTTGTGAGGTGTGTCAGACCGACGGCCCTCTGTGGTCTGCGAAGATACAATCAATCCCCAAGGATGTGGATACAACATGATTATAACATATGTATATAGAGGGAATTTGCATGTGCAGTAAATTGCATACTGGTCAAACCGCTCCAAAACGGGCCACTTGACCTGCCCACGACGGAGGTTCACACGATGTCATGTTTGCTTTGTCCTCATCTAAGGGAGCACAATCTCCAGTTCAATGCCTCGGGCGTGTCAGCACGAGAGATCACAACAAGCCCAGAAGTTGTCAAGGCGATCACTGCGACCCTGGGCTGCACCGTCGTCATACTGAGTCGAATTGTAGCTGTTCAGTTGTCCCATGTTGTCCCGAAATGTCCCAAACGCAAGAAACGATGCCGGATTTCCCCTAAAAATCTAGAGACCAATTCATTAGTGCGGGCGTGAGCTATCCTGCATCGAGTAGTTAGTAGCTTACTTGTAGCTACTAGCTACCTCTCCCCTACTTAATTAAATTAAGTAGGCGCCTACTTAATTAAGTAGGGAGCAGGGGGTGGTGTCGGGTCGCAGGGGGGAACCCAAAACGGGGACTTCCGTTGAGTCCAGCGTCGCAGCGTTGCTCGGGTATGACTTCAATCCAAAGTCGTACCTCGTTTCGGGTGGTGAAATGCTGGACAGTGGCTTCAAATTGCTAATGAATTTGGCCCTAGCAGTTAATTTGCAATCCTTCTGCCTGATAGGTCTATAGCTCCTAGGTGTTTGGTGTTTTTTGGGGGGGCCTCTTGCAATCTTTTGCCTATTCTACTGCTTCATCTAGCGATTCAGTAGGCGGTTCAGGCCTTGATTCTCCGTTTAAGTTTACTTTGTCTCCGCTGCGATTGCAGGAACGACTTCGCCCAGATTGCAGCTATTGTAGCGCCATTTGGTTCTGCAGATCAGACCATGTTTTTGGAAGCGTCGAACTCCCTTAATGCTGTGCGTTTCAGCGTTGCGCAACAGATGTTTTCCTCAGACTGGATTGCTCAAGTTGTGTCTTTGGGAAGTTTCATGCTTCCATTGTCCTCAAAGGTAAGCAGAAGGAGATCCACCGAGCCAAGAATGTAGCACCTCGCCAAGCTGGCGGACGGTGCTAGCGGCTGGGCCGGTGACATCGGTTGAACTCTAACGAGTCCTCATTAAACCCAGGACCAGACCTTGCTTCCTTTACAAGTTTTGGACATAGAGCCATCATGTACATGGAACATGTGACTCTGCCAAGGAAAAATTACTGCGTAGGCTGCTACAAACTACTGTGATGTACATCATGCAGTTATTAACTGTGATGTACAAGTGTGACTTGGGTGTTAAAGGTGTGTGCGTGCGTCATGATCGAAATCAAAGGCTTTGAGACGGGACAGGGCCATTGTGCAATTTGCTAGGAGCAACAGCTTTAGTGTGAAAACAAGGGCGAATATGATTAAAATCAACAATAGATAATATAAGGTTTCAGCCTTGCATGTGTAAACATCCCGACAAATCCTGTAAGAGATTCCCAAAATCATGCATGTCATCTTTAATCCGTTGGCAGGAACTGGTCTAGAAAATTGCACTGAAGCCTCTCCATTGATGAGTGCCCTTGCATGCAATGCTACAGGCTCCGGAAGAAAGACCCTCTCCCATCGCTGTAACATGCATCATGGCATAGCGTCGTTGGGCGCAGTCCTTTGGGAGCACTTGCGGCCTAAAACTCTGCCAGAGGCCGAGGCCACTTGGCAATTCTCTCCACCCTGCACGAGCCCGCCTTCTGCATATCTCTCCCATGGCCTCCAGCCTCCCATGGCATCGCCTTCTCCTTGTGGCCTCCCTGAGGCCGCTGTGCTCGGCAAGATTCAGAGCTTGAAGCCCGAGTTGATGATTTGCGCGGGCTTGAACCTGTCCGACTGCATCTCCGTGGGCCGTGTGCCCTGGTTGCGGGACTCGACACTGTTGCGGGGCGGAGGTGGACCACGGGACAGGGTGTGGGGGATGACACACTCTGATGGGTGTAGCATTACCTGCATCTAAGGAGGTAAGCAGAGCAGAGGAGGACTTCTTTGCAAACATGCAAACCGACCAAACAGACCAATGACTAATCCAAGATTTGGATAAAACGCATCCGTTCCCAAAGAGCCTGAAGTGGTGTGGGTATTTCTCTGTATATGTATATGTGCTGGCAAAATACAACCAGGGTCCACTCCCCAAATAGTCCCACAACAAAGGGAGGTTTTGACACAACAAACGCATGGACTCCTAATTACTTCTATGAGCAGCCTTTTCAGCCCTGACCCCAAGGTCGAGGGAGGGTTCTCGTGATGGTGTAGTGGCGCGGACGGTTCGCGTGTTTCGGTTCCCCTCCGCGGAGGGTGAGCGCCCTTCTCCAGTTGAGTCTTAGAAATCCGTTTGCTCGCGTAGTCATTTTGCCGCAGGTGCGGCATTGACATACTTCAAAGCCATGGACCGTTCGCAGAGTGGTATCGTGTTTTTCACCGGAGACATGGGAGTCTTCATGTTCCCAACTCACCGGAGACTAAGAGCTGAAGCCTATGCTTCACTCACCCAGTGACTAAGTTCATGGTCGGTGGGTCCAGACTTGAACTGATGGCATGGTGCCGCCTGACCCCCACATGGGCTCAACATGGGCTCAACTGCACTTCTCCTACTTCCAGCGCTTTGCTGATTGAATCCACGCGCATGGTTAATTCTTCGTCCGCGGTTGGACAACTCTTATCATGTTTTGGACTGTGGGGTCTGCATATGCCCTCCAAAATAACTAAGACATGAGCCACAACACATCTGGTATCATCTGGTAATAGGGATTCGCTTCGTGGCTCTGACGATGAGCATGTGCGATCCCTTCTTTTCCACCCGGTGGGTCGAGCACGAACAAGACACGACCCTTCAGGACCCTTCTTCCGACCCGAACTCCGGATTTGGAGTTGAGGTTTTGAGCATTCCAGTCATCTACTTGAGCCTGCAAGTCATGATTCCAAGCAATTATTTGCCGGCATTGGGGGTCATTCCCAAATTGCCCAGCTTTTTGAACATGAATCTCGCCACAGTTTCTTCAAGTTCCGAGTTTGGTGCCGATCGTCCTCGCCTGAAGAGCAAACCTATGCAAATCTGGAAGGTGCCCCAAGGCACATATATTTTATCTTATTGTATATACGAATATAACAATTACAATATATATATATAGAGATGAATTCCTAAGTGAGTGTGGCTTCAGAACCAAATTGCAGAATAAGTAAAGTGCTGAGGGGATTCTTCATGTCACATGTTCCAGTCCAACCATGCATACTGTTTCAATACATGAGCCTCGACGCCTCGACACAAAACCATTATGACATTCAATGAGCTGTATCTAGCACTCCCACAAGGTAACAAGGTGCTGCAGCCATTCGATTTGCAAGGGATCACCCCCCCTGGAAATCCACATGGTACTGGCCTTTCCAGATCTGATGCACGGCAAAGGACTTGTTCTGCCTCAAAAGCTTTCAGGGAAAAAACACCATTGGAACGCCTCAGATGCAAGCCCATTGGTTGCCATCATCGAAAGGGAAGAAGTTCTGCTCAGAAACACCATACCGATCTCCATGGACCTTCATTGCCTGCAGGCCTTCCTTTTTTGTGACTTTTTGTGCCTGGACAATTTTGTCCAGAGATCAGTCAGGAACTAGTCTGGAAAAAAACACTGCACTCCCGACACAAACTCAACGTTGACGGACAACATCCTGGCAATGCAGGGTCCAGTGTAAATACGTGCGTGAAGAGCAATGAACAGGAGATGTCCGTGGTTCCCAAGTGATGCGAGTATCCACCAACCATACAGAATGGTTGACCCGGTGGATTCTCTTATCCTCAAACTCAAACCCCAGTCTTTCCCTCAGCTCCGGCCTTCAATTCCCGCGCCCAGGAATTGGTACGCCTGGAAATTGGTCTTCGACCTGGTTTTGAAAGCCAAGCGCAAGAACTCCCTTCCCGTCATGGCCAAACAGTTGGGGACCACGGCAGCTGAGGCGGGGGGCCCTCCCCGCCGGGCGGTGGGGTGGACCGAAGTGGACGGCAACAGCACTGTTTGTGGTGCTGCTTTGCTTTGGCCCGGCCCTGGAAGTGGATGAATTGCCAGGACAGCAACCAAGAGGTCAACAAAACACTGAGCACTCAGTACTGATCAAGGGATCTCATAGGCCGGCCGAAGCATCGCATGGTGCTGAAGCATCGCGTACGGCGTACCTTCCAAACAAAAAGGGTCGCACCGGCGTCCCAAGTATCCGACTTTCATCCCCAAGTATCCCGGCGTCATGTGGCTTGAACCGGCGGAGTTGTGTGTCTTTGCATGAGCTGGTCTCCCTTGACTAGAAGTACACTGTCTTCAGCTCAGAACTGTGACTCAGCGTGAGACTCTGTGGCACAGACCTCGACAGCTGTGCCCTTCCCAGGGCTTTCCAAGCAACGAACTTAGGCAGAGCCAGCACAGGGATCTGTACATACAACATCATACAACACAAAAGCCTGTGGGTCTGAGAGGATCCGATCCATCCCTGGAAAGATGAGCTCTGTCTACAAACACAGCAACAATGAAACTTTTCCCTAAGAGGATGTCCTGAAAAAGCACAGCAAAGCCCCCCCCTGGCGGCTTTTTTGGGGCTCATGGCTCACATCAGACCCCCCATCACCTCAACCTAAGCTTGTTGAATGGTTTCTTCCACCGAGGCTTGGTGGAGGCTTGGGTTGTCTCTCACCGGTTTTTACGTTTTTGTTGGACGTGGTTACGGTGCAACTATTGTACGGCCAGAAACTGTGGAACCCCCCGATCGATAGCATTGAACAGGAACAGAACCTGACAGTAGTTTCCTCAATCTCTAGTCGACCACAGCTGCAGGATGCTAAATAGGCCGGAGTTTCTTTTTATAGTGAGCTCCAAATAGATAGTGGCATGGTTTCCAACACGAATAGTGGGGATCAGTGGGGATCTACTTTTCTATTTATTTGGGGATCATTATACATGAGCCTTCCCTGCAGACTCCCCTTCTATCTGCCCTGGCAGATGGTGGTCTCCTGGGAAGAGTTCTGTGAGCACTGCTGCTGCACACCAGACTTCCCAGTGTTCTTCGCTGTGAGCAATCAATTGCACCCCTTCCCACCGGATTTTTCTCCGATCCCTGGCAGACACAGGAGTTTGCATGAGAGGTGTGGAACTGTGTGGAGGGTTGCCAAATTGATGGAGAGAGTGCCGAACAGGTGTGCAGTCGTGGGTAGCGAAACCATTAAATTCTTTGGTAGCTTGGTTGGGGCCAGAAGACCATCTATAGATATTATTTATCCCCCAAAAAGAGACGAAATCGGATGTCGCTTTGGGTCCAACGAAACCCCCGGACCTCGAGGACACACGTCCTTCACATTCGCTCCGACCGGTCTCCGTCCCCCCGAGGATGTGCCGCTCCTTGGGACCCTTGGCCTTTCAGCCGGAGGAACAAGTGGGTAGCGACTTCGGCTCCACAGAGGAGTGCACACGCTTGGAGGACTTCCTGAAGACTTGCCGGCAAGCAGGGGAGGAGCCCGTCTACGTGGGCTATGGTTCCATGATCTTTGAGAGTGGAAAGTTTCTTGGTTGATTTGCAAAGATCGGTTCGTTGTACTCAGTCAGACAGCAAGTACTTCCATTGCCTTGTGTCTCCAGTGTCCAGCCTTATTGTTACGTATCATTTGTTATCCTCAAATGTCAAATGTCTAGGAGGTGGACAGTTGGCGCTGTAGGGGCACAGCCAGGCACTGCCTTTTCCCAGGAGACTCCACCATTCTGAAGCCCACCCAGTTAGAGGATAGCCGGATAACCCTTAACCTTTTTTGGGGATTGGTTTCCCATGGCTTCCCCATTCAAAAAAGAACAGGGCTCACAGGTCAGTCAGTCAAAACAACATCGCTGGATATTCCCAGGTATATGACCCTCCTAAGCTTGCGCGCGCTGCGCTTAGCCAACAAGAGGGGTGTGCTTTTGGGTGGCTGGGCGGCGTGTTCCGCGGACGATGTGGAAAATGAGCCTGACACAGAGGAGCTCAAAGCCTTTTGCAAGGAGAAGGTTCAATTCCGGACCGAACCGACGGATCTCCGGGTCGAACTGATCGAATCGAGCCTGATGGCCCATTGGCTTGCTGGGGGAACCGAAAAAAACAGCAACACCTCTTCTTCTAATCGATGATTGCACCGCCAAGATCCCATTTTCGGGCGATCGCCGCCGACGGCGCGGTCGACTGCTCGTCATGGATGAGTGGCGCAGGTGCTCTTCATGGATTCAGCGCCCCACGGTCGCCTCTTCCCACACTGCCAAGTCATCGTCCACCATGGGGGTGCTGGGACCTTGTACGCGGCCGCCATGAGCGGAAAGCCCATGGTGGTGGTGCCCGTGCTGATGGATCAGTTTGTGCATTCCGAGCTGGTGAACCAGAAGCAGATCGGTGTAGGCAGTGCCCGGTGGATGTTAGGTGGATCTTAGGCTTTCGAAAGGAGAGGTGTGAAGATGGGAGACGGAATCGGACATCGGATGAAGTCATCAAGCACAAGCCACCAGTACCCTGTGTTTTCCGCGGTTCGCCTGTTCATCCCTTCAAGATGATCCCAAGTCCGATACAACAAAAACACCAAGAACTGTTTGGATTTCTTGGGACAAAATGGCCAAAGGATGCCAAAAACAGTTGAAGCAATCATGGTGCAATTTTGCAATTGGAAGATACTATAATTCCCAGAGAAACCCAGACCAACTGTTGGTTTAGCACACATCACCAGGTCCGGTTTGACCCGCGGCAGGGCTGAAATCGATGAAGTCCACCACTCCCAATGACCTGGCGGCAGCCATCAGCTTGTGCTCGAGCTCCAGTGAGATCCAACAGAAGGCCAAAGCCTTGGCTGAAGAACTGGCCAAGGAGGATGGGGCCAAAAGACTTGTCGAGGAGGCGGGAAGGGCCCAGGGGATGGAGGTCGATGGAGTGGTGGCAAGCTGCAGCTTGGGTTTTTCGTTTGGTGATCCGTGGTCGTCGTGTATGCGGGGCAGAACTTTGCTGCGTTTGGTGGCATAGCGTCTGGATGCCAGCATCCCCGCAAGAAAAGTGGGCAGGGTCGATATAAGATGATATAAGTATGACATGATATAAGTGCTGCAGGTCGATGTTCATGGTATGGCGATCTGTTTTTGGAGGTTTCGTTGCAGGTTTCATGAGCGTCCTTGCTGTTTAAACATAGGAAGTGTTTGCAGCATTGGAAGAGAAAACATTGTTGTAGCATGTGAGAGGCCTTACAACGCTCCTGTTATCCCTTAGAGGGACCTTTTCCAGGTGAACGGCTTCTTCCGGGACTTCATTGACACGGGCTGCTACGTCCAAAAGAAAAACGAGTTGAACACACGGCGTTCCACGATGGGCTGGTTGAAATCGTTGGCCAATCTGTGCAGCTTTTGCTGAGAAGAAGAACAAACCGAGTTTAGGCGCCGTCCACTTCACCGAGCGCCTTCTTTGCTCTGGGGCCGGCAGGTTTGTCCTGACGGGCCGGAGGACATAGGGCTGGCTTGACGTGAAATCAAACCGATATCGCCTGTTTTACTTTTCACGACTTTTCATCTAATGATGATGTGCTTTTCCACGAACATTCATCCGTAGCATGCGTTCTGAAGGATGAGAAAAGGCAAGCATCCGTTGGGTCGAAGATGGCGTCGCTTTGGCTCACAAATCCTCCTGCCAATATCCTCTATGAAACGAGGGGGGTGAAGGCTCCTATAAAACGAAATATGACCCCCACAGGTGAGGGGGAGCACTGCATTCAGAATTGCTGTATATGTTCATCATATTTTATCTCTCTGTGTGGTGTGCACCCCAGATAAGACACCAAATCTACTAAATTTACATAAAGTTACCTTTCTGTAATGATGTTTCATGGTCTTTCCCTGTCTTTTCTGATCTTTTTTTTGTATTTATGGAGCTGGTGACCTAAAGGTTCCTTGTGGTTTTGCATGTTCATGCATGCTCTAAGGAGAGCTAGATGCAAGTAACCCCAAACCTCTATAAAATGACTAGGGTTGACCCCCCGTGCTGAATATTTTCATCATATGTCATCTCTCTTTCTCTCTCTCTGTGGTGTGTACCCCAAAAAAGACACCAAATACCCCCAAACCTCAATAAAATGGCTAGGGCTGACCCCCCCTTTGCTCGATATGTTCATCATAATTCATCTCTCTGTGTGGTGTGCACCCAGATACGACACCAAATCTACTAAATTTACCTTTCTGTAATGGTCTTTCGTGGTCTTCCCCGGTCTTTTCTGTATTTTTGGAGCTGGTGACCTACAGGTTCCTTGTGGGTTTGCACGTTCACACATTTTCTAAGGAGAGCTAGGTGCAAGCAACCCCAACCTCTATAAAGTGACTAGGGTTGACCCCCTCTTGGCTAATATGTTCATTTTGTTTAATTATATTTCATCTCTCTGTGGGGTGCGCCCCGCAAAAAGCTACAAAAAGACTCCCAATCTATTAGATTGACTTGTTTGATCTTGGTTGTAATTGTATGTTCCATTCTTTCACTGTTCTTTTTGAATGTATTTATACTTTTTTTTGTATCTGATGACCTAAAGGTTCCTTATGGTTTTGCATGGCTTTGCAGTTTTGCAATTTTGCACAAGCCAAAACATTTTGAAATTTTGATTTGTGATTGAAACATTCACTATGTCTGCTCATATTACGGCCTCTGTATGCTTTTATCTGACCTTTTTGAGGGAGTCAATCCACTCATTTTATAGAGATTGGATTTTGGTTGGACAGTCATTTTATACGCCAGGGGGTGGTCAACCCCACCATTTCATATCTATAAAATCAATGACAGGACCCCCTGCACAATATTGACAGGGGGATGCTCACAATATAGTCTTTTGACTTCACTTCGGAGCCAGAAACGGCCCATGGTCTTGCGACGGACTGTTCGAGAGCTAGAAGGCTCAGTGGTTAGGACATGTTAGGACATCCAGGTTTGATACTTGGAGACCCGGAGCACAGGGCGGGTGCCTTTTTCTTGGCGTCTCCCAGGTGTTGGGCTTCGGCCCTTCGACCGGGCCGTGGGCTTCGAAGCCTGTTCGGTGTTTGGTGGCGATCGATGTGGCGTGTGCGTGTGCGATCGATCTTGGTGCGTCCATCGCACCAAGACCCAGCGATAGAATGCCCCATCCCCTGGAGAACCAGCAGAGATTGAAGAACCCCATAGACTATCCTATAGGATCCTATAGGTACCCCTGTAGGGTCCTAGTTCAGGTCACTGGATGCCTCTGATGGTTTTGTGATGGCCAGATTCGATGCCTTTTTGCGGGCAGGTGGTGATGTTTGGGCACAGCCGCGTGCGGAACCCGTTGGGGCGAGGAGGCTTAGAGTATCTTAGAGCCCCTGGAGTGCGGACGATGCTGGATAGACATGGTGATTTTTGTGTTCTCAAACGTTCTCAAATCCTTTTGGTGTGGATTTGGCTGTGCAAGCAAGGAGGGTGTTCAGCTGTTCTTTGATATTCGTGGCTATTGTTGCAATTGACGTGGGTGGTCACATTGGACCAATTTTGAGTGTTCAGCAAGATTTGACTCTAAATGGACATTCATCCTCACGAAATGGCCAACTAATTCATTAGATGTATAGAGTCTTAATTAGTACAGGATCCATCAGGATCCCAACTGACACACACACCACTGGCACTGTCAGGATCCCTGATTCTTTGGCACAGGATCCCATCATCACTGATCCCACTGCAACGTCTAGCTCTGAGGCATTCCATGCTAGCAGCCACTGGCACTGTCGCCGGACGCGTGGCCTCTGGGCTCTTCGTGGCACCGACCCGATTTTGGTGCGTGCGCCGATGTGGGGCGAAGCGGGGCGAGTGTCGCAAGCGAGTTGCATGTGCTTTTTTCCATGCTGTTCTTTTATTTCTATTCCTATAGGAGTTTCAGTTGCAGCAAGAATCATGAGTGTTTGGCTACCCAGTCTTTTTCTTTCGAGTGTTTTTGGGGGGCTCGGCTCCGCAGACCTTTAAGAGGCACATCACGCAGATGTGGGTCCTAGGGGCGGCGCAGAGCGGCGCAGCGGGAGTTGGTACCGAAGTGAAGCCTCAAAGAGATGTGAGGTGAAGTGACCCAGGCAGTCTTAAAGAAGTTATATATATCGAATATCATCGAACACTGACAACGATGCATCTAAAAGATATATATTATATATATATATGACATCCATTGAAATCCAATGAACTTCCCCAAGAATTGTTTGCTATCCATCTTCATAGACTTGTGTTCCATGATCATGTGTCCATCATTTTCCCTACCAGCCCGACCAACCTCAAAAAATTGTTAGCAGTCATTCTTCCCACCTTGGCCTATTCTTCATCCGCCAGGATCCAACCACCTGTGCTCGATGGGCAGCGGAGATGAATGCCGGGCACCCAGAGACCTCCACGGTCCAATCGCTTCTGGGTGGGTCAATCGGTCAGTCTTTGGGGAAGACACCCCGAACTCGCGCCCCTGGTAGACGGGTCTCTATTTGATTCGATTTTCCAAACCTTCCAGAGGGTAGTTGCCTGAAACAGCCTCTGTATTTGAGCTAAGTTCTCCTTTGGTCGTGGCCATGAATGTTCGGCTCGTTTCTTGGTTCTCCTTTTCTGTCGTTTATGGCACCGCAGTCATCGAGGCGTTCTCACAGTTCTGGTTCGGTGTGGACGGACCTTTTCTGCGTTCCCCACCTTATCCCAAGTCGTCCCATTCGTTCAGGGGTTCGGTGGACAGTTCATGAAAGTTCCAGCAAAACACCATGCTTCATCACATCTCTTTTTTTATCTTTTTTTGAGAGCGTAGCATAACCCTGGAGGTCCACCCGCAAACATGCCGTATCAAAATCCCTTGACATGCAAACCCCGTTGGACCAAGACCAGTGGCCCACGGCCGGTGGCGCGCTTGGCTTTGGAGCTTGGAGCCACTTGGTGCTTCGGTTGGTGCTTCGGGTGTGCATGGGGCGAGGGAGACACAAAATGGGGGCGACTTCGTCCAACTGACGGCGGCGACCCGGAAAGCGTAGGGCAGCCCCTTCTGAAAGCGTAGGATACCTTCACAAGTTCACGTGATCATGTCCTGTCTTAAACGCGAGGACACCCCCAATCTCTGTTTGCTAGTTGCCCTATTTTAGACTTGTCTTTCCCCGACCGATGGTAAAAGGTCATCAACCAATGGGGGACGGGATGCAATGCGTATCGCAGATCTCAGTATTCATCACTACAATTGCAATGATTTGGGTATAGTTGGCTGGTTGCGGTCCCACTGTTTTGGGGCAAACCCATGTACAGTATTGAATTAGAGTGAATTAGATATTTAGGAAATCACTCTCACAGATCCTGTCTCCACCGACGCTGGAAGCATGACATTGGGGAGACAATGACCGCAATGACATCTCAGGGGTCTCCAGCTAATTCAGTTGGACCCGTACCCAGTGCTCCATCTCGTGACCGAGTGGTGTATGAATACACGCGTAATGATTCAAGTGGTGAACGTGAAAGCAGAGCTCTCCTGTGGTCGGTGGTCACATCACAACTTCCAGTAAGCCATGTTGAAAACCTGGCAAGGTTGACCATGAGACAAGTCTGGACCCATCTGGAGTCTGGAGTGGCTCGAGCGGGAAAATGATGGTCATGATGAATAAGAATGCCATGCGCCAGGAGATGAACCTGTTCTGAATTGTTCAGATAAGTAACTAATCATAGAATCATGGGCTACCAACTCCGCAAGCCACTGATGAAGGTTTGTGATCTTGCAATGAAGAGACAGGGGCCTCAATAGTCCTTGAGCTTAGTTTGTTTGGGGCACCATGGGGCACCACTGCGTGCCACAGCGCTGATGGCGGTTTGGCTGTGGCCTTCCATCGCTGCCTGGCTGCTGCGGAGCTGCCTGGGAGATGGCCCCGGTGATGGAGGACGAGGCGTGGAAGGGGCCATCCGCTGCTCGAAGCCGATCACGCATCGACCCAGACAGCTGCCAACACACTATATACGTGGACAGGTCGTTTACTGGTCATGAAACACATACGAGCTTATGTTGACTGGCAGAGACCCGGGGGAGTGGAGTCAATTGTGGAGCCATAGCCAGACTTTTGTGCCTCATCCTTGCTCATCTCATCTGACTGAGATGCGAGATGTTATGTAGGATCGGCTTTTCACAGTGAACGTTTTTGTTCCCACCTCCAAGGGGTAATGAGCACAATGAGCAAGGTCGACTGTCAGCCAGCTATTTGCTCTGGGTGAGTCCATCTGGGTCACCACGGGTCATCATGGGTCCCAAACCTTCATGTTTCGCTTGCAACAATGGAGGTCAAGCAAGAGGTCAGCCGGGACAAGCCTCCATTGCCGCGGGGGCCTACTGCAGCTTTGCCATTGGAGCTGATGGGGAGCTCTATGGCTGGGGGAAGAATGAGTGCCTTGGAGAAGGGTTTGATATATGTGTGTGTTTTGTATTCTGTTTTTGTCTTCATGCGAACCTAAAGTGTGTTGTATTCCCTGAAGAGTTCTTCTCATTTGGGAAAGGCTTCCCTTGTGTGGTGTGGAGGTCAAGGGAGGTGTTTGAGGAAGTTTGCGAAGGTGTCAGGAACAGGCAACAAGTTGAAACATCGCGAAGCGAGTAGCAAGCAGGCTCAATTGAGCTGAGATTTTTTTTCGACATGAAAGGGTTTATACAAGATGTAACCTTCAAAAGGCTGGCGTAGGCAACGTGCTTCCGAAATCGACTGAAATAGCATGCCTTGAAGTCACCCAGCTTGCGTTTCTGATTCAAATTAGAATTGACAGTGTTTTATTTGTTTCAGTTTCTTGTAGCAGATGTCTTTCATCTCAAGGGGCAGTTTGCAAGGGCACCTAGAATGACCACCAGAGAAAAACGCAAGACATTGCAATGCAACCACACTGCCAAGACTACCCGGGAGGTTAGAAAGGCCACTGTTTCTGTGTAAGAGGTGAGAACTCCCAACAATGTCCCAAACAACTCTTTTGTGTTGTTTTCCTGGGGACATTTTCACAGGCACCGTAGGCGAAAATGAGTTTGTTGATCCTTCCCCCATGTCCGCTTGCCTATAATAGTACTCTCAAATAGATGTTAAAACCTGCTGTTCTGAGAAGTATTCCCAATGTCGAAGACATGGGGAGACTATACGCGTCAGTGCACCTCCGAAGTAATGTCCAAAACTCATGATGAGCGTGAAGTCGTTGCTTGCTTGTCTTCCGTTGTGGAGCACATAGCCAATGAAACCAACTTGCCCATCGTAGAGTGTCAAGCTCATCATCTGAAAGATAAAGGGTCAGCTGCTGCATAAACGTTTCCACTCGCAAGAACTGCATGGTACCGTAGGCAAATTGGAGCAGTAATGCTCCAAAACCTCACGTTCGTAGATTTCCCGTAGGCGATGTGGAATAAGCCATGTCTGCCGTAGGCTTTCACTGTGGAAACGTAGCCAAACCGTAGGGTTCTACGTAGGCACCCAAGGATGATAACACCACCACATCTTTTAAAAAAATCCCTGCTCAATTGTTTTGTACCAAGCTCAAAAGGGCAGTGAATGGATCACAAAGCTTTTCTGATAGGTGCCTTCCAAGAGTGCCTATTGCCCATTCAGCAGGGCTAAGATCGAATAAGATCGAGTTAGGGATCGCAACCGGACCGGCCTAAAAAGCTACAAGCACTTGTGTTAAGTCGTCTGGTCTTGTAGAAAGTCGTCTGGATGTTGCGTTTCCATTGGGGTTAGATGCAAGATGGCAATATAACTGGAAGAGCATTAGGTCAACAACATTGTTTGGATGCTGCGTTTCCATGCAGGTTAGAGGGAAGGTGACCAAAAAGTGATTTGAAGATAATCGACGTGGGTAGGTGGATACCTCGACTCGCGCGGCACTCGCGTCAGGATTGAAAAGACTCGCACAGCACTCGCGCCAGTGTAGTTCCGACGAAAAAATGGTTTTACACAGCATATGTTTAAGTCAATCTAGCCAGACCGGTGACTGTTGGAATCGCTGACTCATTCAAATCCAATTGAGCCGGGCCAGAGCATCTACGTTTAGGGGCTAATCTTCACGATAGTCCTAACCTTACGTTCTGATTGGGGTTCGGTCACCAAAACGCTGCAAACTTCGACATAAAACTAGTTCTTTCCTGCACAGGGGCAGTGAATTCTTGATGTATAGCAGTTTTGACAAACATACTTCCGTAGAGCGTTTACATTGTGTCTTATAAAGCGGGTGACTTTTCGCCAGCCGGGTGACTTTTGACTAATGCCGCGTTTCCATGCGGCCGGGTGACTTTCTGCAAACCCGGGTGACTAAACCCCAGCGCTAGTATGGCAACGGGCCGCCTTGGACATGTTATAGAGAAGATGTGGATTTTGCGGGGAGCGAGCGCATATTTGTGCATGTTCGCATGGTCGAAAATGACTACACCTGTTTTTCTCGATGTGACCTGGGGAACCTGTGCCTCGCACATGCATCCGACTCAGAGTGGCCTAAGTAAGCCTCGGTGTTTTTGGTGACCCCGGGCATAGTTCCAAGAGCTTCACCTTCAAGGTGGGTTTGGAACAGCTTAAAGATTATCCAAACAGGCCCAAACACTCAGAAATTTGGATGTGGCTCCAGACCTTAATGAACAGACTAAAGCTTTTGCGAACGGAAAGGGTAAACGTCCCGAATTATATCCAGACACAGATTCATCAGCAACTGCTTGCTGCTTGATAACACCAGGGATAGTACGTTTCTCTTTGCTGGCCGCGCTGCAAGACAACTTTGCTCAGCAACAGATATTCACAGCTTTTTACCTGTGAAGCTAAGCACATTGGCTGCGTATGCCAGGGCGATACGTGTTTCTTAGGAGTTGTTTAGTTTTTTTCGATTGTCAACCTTGGAGGCTACGAGTATATCGATCGGTTTCTTCGTTCCCCAGCGCCATGTAGCTGCCAAGTATCGCTTGTAGCTGACCCAGCAAAACAGCTCCCTTCCCGTCTCGGCACCGCTCAACTCGAGGTTTGGCAAGCTGGGCTTGGGGGATGAGGAGGACCGGCTCATTCCCAGCAAGCTGAATCTGCGGGCCACGGCCATCACCGCCGGACGCCATCACGCCGTGGCCATCGATGAGTCGGGACGCTTGTGGACCTGGGGATCGAATCAAAATGGTCAGCTGGGCGCAGGCGCCGGGACGGCGGAGAGATGCGGAGAGGGAGCTGGTGGTTTGGTTGGGAACACGAAAGAGGGGCGCGGTTGAAAAGATGGCGGAGGTGCAGAAGAAGAGCCAATTCAGAACTGCAATGGAGGACCTTAGATGCTAGACGATTGGTTGCCAGACGCATGAGATATGATATGATGATCAAAGTGATGATCAATCATCATACGATGGACCATGGGGTGTGATGAGCAGGTGCAGATCTGCATCACGTAGATCATGTAGCACATGTTGGTCCCTAGTTGGGCTTTTCAGCTCTTGAGAAGGAGGCATGATCCAAAATCAAGCGGGAGGATTCAGCCTTACTGTCCAGCCAATGCAAGTGCACTTTGCTGTTGCCCTGGCGAACCCGGCGCCTGACCCACTGAGACGGTTCTCGGCGTGCCGCCCACCGACGGTGGGAAGAGCACGGAACTCGGAACGACCGGAACGACACGTCCACGATGGTCGACGTGCGTAAAGACAGCGCGGTCGAAACAGGAGTGGAAAGAGCATCAAATTGAATCCCCTGTAGCTTCTTGCTACTAGTAGCAAGTGCATCGCTGCTTGTAACAAGTGCATTTCTACTAGTAGCAACAAGCTAGTAGCTTCTTGCTACTAGTAGTAAGGCCAGGAGCTACTAGTAGCGTCCTTGCTCTTAGTAGCGATGCCCTTTAGTTGTTAGTAACTTTGGAAACAGTGTGACAACCATGAGACTTGAACATAAGGCAAACCAAATGCCCTATCGGCACCCACAAGAAGAGAGCAAGAGCAGTCGCACAAACTAAGATATTTGTGGAGGGGAATTGTTTAATCATGTTAGTAATCTTTTTATGCAGGCACTGGATGGCACTGGAATTCCCGAGTTTTGAGCATTCACCATCTTCACAGTCTTCACACCCTGAAATCGACCCTTCACTTATTCTATTCTATTCTTTTCCTATCCTGTGCAGCTTCTTCCGATCGCAGGCGACGAGGTTCAGAGCCTCGCTTTGCCACACGAGCTCTTTGCCTCCGGCGCCACCCAGGTGGCGAGTGGGGCACGGCACAACCTGGCGGTGGTCCATGGCCAGCTTTACAGCTGGGGATGGAATTCCAACGGACAGCTGGGGAGGAGTGCGGACGGCGCCCTGCGGCTTCCGCCGTGCGGTTTCGGGTTTGTCTGGGGCTCCGAGTTTAAGTTCAAGGTGCTGAAGGAAGCTGCTGGGGGATGGGACAGTTGTTGAGATTTGTCTTTGTTGGTGTGCATACGGAGCCAACGGAGCCACCGGAGCCCGGACGGGTGGACGGAGGCAGGTTCAGGGGCCGAGGGGGTGATGGGAGGTGAAGATCTTGCCAGGTTGGGTTTTGGAGGCTGAGAGGCCCAGAGGTATAAGGATCTCTAACTGTAACTGTAAGTAATACATATAGTAATTAATATAAATAGATGTAAAATAGCTAGATTGTTCAATTAGAATATAACATGTTTGAATCCCCAAAACAACTCCGGACATTGCGGACATTGATGGACTGTTGGATGAACAAGCAAACCACCACACAATGTGGCGGTTTGGTTGTCTGAGTTGATGTTGTCTGGGCAGGGTTTGGTTTTATTTCTGTAGACAAACATGGTTTGTTGAACATGTTTGGATTGGATTGGCTTCAAAGAGTGAGCCAAGGGATCTCCCTGAGCAAAGAGCTCCAAATTAGTGTCGTGAAGCATCAAGAAACGCAGACACTGAAGAAGCAATTTGGAAGATGTTGCATCCGGAAGCCACCCGATCAAGGAGAATGGAAGAACAAAAACAATCTGGGCTTGTGTTTGGCTGAATCTACAGCTGTTGACAACTGACGAACCCCCCAACTTTGAGGCAAAGAGTACTGAGCAGGAGCATTCTGTTCAAGGATAGAATCTGCACAAACAGTGTCCGTTCGCTCGTCGTACTCTTCGTCTCACGCCGTCGACCGATGCCGTACTGGGGCGACGCGCATGGAGGAGTGGAAGTGGCTCCAGTCCAGCTCAAGTGGACTTGAATGGGGTCGTAGCCGTGGCAGCAGGCTTCCTTCATAGCTTAGCCCTCAGGGCTGATCAAAGCCTATGGGCGTGGGGCACCAACGGGAAAGGACAGATGGGCACTGGGCAAGCTGACCATGGGAGCCACACTCCGGCAGCTGGGCGCTCGTTTGATCGTCTTGTTGTGGTGAATCCGTTAATCCTTTGTTTGATCGACAGCCGGGGCAGTTGACCTTGAATTTGACCTGGTGGGATATGATATTGAGCTTCGCCAGAGCTTGTATTTTACTGTACTTGAGATACCCTTGGCAGCCAAGGTTCAGATTCTCGCCAGTGGTGTCACATCTATTGCAGCTATGGATGAAACCAGCTTCGCCGTCTACGATGGTTTCCTCTTCGGCTGGGGTTCCAATGACAAAGGGCAGCTGGGGCTCGGTGATGTGGAAGACCGCGCTGCCCCCACAGAGATCAGTCGGTTGGCGAACCCAGACACCGGTCTGGTCGGTGTGGGAACCAAATGGATCACCGATCCTGTTCAGCCACCTTTTCAGTGTCCTTTTGCCCACAAAAAGGCGGTAAAACAGGTCACAAGGCCAAGCCAAAACTGGCGTCAAAGGGGTAGGACTCACAAGACTCACATCTCGCCTTGCGTAGGATCATGACCCGGAACCATGGGATTGTTTATGCTTGGGGCCTGAATGGTGCTGGGCAGTTGGCATTGGGTGACCGGTTTGATCGCAGCCGGCCCGGCCGGGATACACAACTGCCTTGGCCTGTGGAGGCGTGGGGCTGGCTGGGTCACCAGCAAACCAGCATATTGCAAGTGCTGTGAAGATCTGTGAAGCATGTGAGGCAAAGAGGAAGAAATGACAGAACACATAAACAATGACAGGTGTGTGGAGTCTAAACATCTAAATTAGACGGAAAAAGGACAAGGAAAACGTGCAAAAGACGGGTCAGGGTGGGTCGAACCCTCAAAACCTAGCATTCGCTTTCATGTGGGATGCGTTTTAGCCATGTGCCGCGGGTACGGGGCTTGGACCATGTTTGACCCACAATATATATGGGAGTTGATCGAAAACCCCGTGTAAGGAGTTTTATACAAAACAGCCTTTCAGATGTTGTTAGAACCATCCGCGAAAGATTTATCGAAGGTCATCGCTTTCATTGTTTTCCTTTCTACCGGACTGACAAAGAATAGAAACGCAAGGCAATCCTCCGGCAGAGCCAGTGGGCGGAAGTGTCCCCATATGTCACAGACTAACGAACTGAAGCCTCAACATTTCTGTGCCCAGCCCTGGCAGTGCGTAAAGGATTCTCCGACACTGTCACAGACTAGCAATCTGGGTAGGCACAGCCCTGACAGTGAGGCAACGACCTGCAGCTGCTCTGACGGGCTGTGCAGATGTTTGCAAATGTTACGGCTTCCCGGGGAAAGCACCAGTGAAATTTCGCGAAAGATCCGCGAAAGCTTCGCGGATGTGCCGCTAAAGTCTAGGTTCCCAGCTTGAGGCCCCCCAATATTCCCCAAGCTGCATCACCCTGTGTTGGTGGGTTGAGTTGTGCCTGACTCTATTTGGCACAATTGTCGAACAGATGCTGCAAGTGACCCTGAGTAGCTGTGGAAACGGGCAACCATCTACTGGGGTCATGCTGCAAGATGTCCCTCCCTATTTTGTGATACTATGACATGTTCCGGCTCATGTTAGCTAGAGACGGTTGTAGGACCATGCTTCGCGATGAGGCCGCGAAAGATCCGCGAAAGAAACAGGATGAATGGCCATTCCAGGATGAAAGAATATTGATCAACCACCATATATATATATTATACATATACAGTGTATATATATATTATATATATATTATTTGCCATATATACCTAGGCATGGAAGACATCTTCGATTGGATAGTGTCCTGTATGGTCTTCAGGCGGATTTTTTTGGGAGGGTGCCATAAGTTGTGGTCCCAGTTGGTCATGTTTACTCCGAACTGCAGCAGGATGGGTGATTTGCCCACCTCCAGCTCCGAAGAAATCAGCCCTACTTGCCGCGCCAGGTGATGGCTGGGGGCTTGGCACACAGCTTGCTGCTCTATGAGGATCAAAGCCTTTGGGCCGTGGGGCATGACGCGCATGGCGGACTAGGCTCCCGGCTGGGCGGCGACTTTGCCACCACACCAGTCCAGGTGGGAAGCAAACGTCGAATTCTTCCTTGGCTCGGGCCGGTTTTTCCTTTCCGGAGCCTTGGTTGGACACTTGTGTTCGGCCTTGGCGGTGAACAAGGTCCAAAAAAAAGAGAGAAACAAGGTCCATAGCAAACACTGGAATCCATGCAGCGCCACATGGCGCCGCACCGGGTGAAAAACAGTTCCTTTTCACTTGGTTCACCGGTCACGTCACACGAGACTGTGGGCGTCCGTATGCGGCCATCGCTAGGTCTTCGAGGCCGGCGCCATCCGTCCCTTCAACCGCTCGGCCTTTGCGTTTGCACCCGGGTCCGCTGTCAGCGCGGCCATGTCGCAGATCATGCCATGGGTGTTGCTGCTGGCACAAATGTTCTGAAGCTCTAAAAGCCATGGCACGATGATCTTTGATCGCCCTGGACCTGATTGGGACCTGATTGGGACCTGTACATCATTCACAGACGAGGGAACCAGATGCAAAGCACAATTCCCAAGTCTACAGCAATTTTTGCGTCTGCCTATTGCATAATGATACTCTTCTTTCCGAGAGCGGCTTCGAACGCTTCAATTGAAGATGCTTTCGAGCCTGCCAATAGTTTGAAGACTGTATGTATGCTTTGATGGGAGAGCTTCAGAAGCTAGTTCAGAAGGCAAAGATTGTAGAAGGTGAAAAAGTATCCACCGCAAATCTCGCAAGGTTACGTTTCTTGGATGTTCATGACATGGTATATATGATAATGGTATGACCATCCAGGGTCCGCCACATCTTCCTTGGATGGTACATGTGTCACTCCCGCGTTTGCACCACGGAACCATCCGTACTCGCCCCAACGTTTGCTCGCCGTGGGTTCAGGGAAAGGTTTTTTCCAGCCACACGGTGGTGCGCACCGATCCTATTAGGCCGACCCACGAGCTCTGTCTGATGATGGCTTGTCTCCCTACACCGCTGCGATCTTGCGGGAGGAGTTGATGGATCCGTCGCTGCGGGTCTTCCGGAGGGGAGTCAACTCCATGGGAGATCCATGGGATCGATTTGCTCATTCCGGTGGGTGGAGATGCAGCCCAAAGCTGGTGGGTGGAACCTGCAACAATCTGTTGAAGGAAAATGTAGCATTGACAGTTAGTTAAGGACTTCATGCCAGGTTTTGGGGGGGTGCCTAACCGCTAGATGCCGCTAGGATGCGCTTCTTTGGTGGTTCATGAAGGTTTATTAGTTATAGTGGTTATAGTATATTAATTATATATAGGTACAAATATAGGTATGTTATAGTGGTTGCAAAAGCTTGTCGTGTTAAACCGTGTTGTGGTTGGGAGAGGTTTAGATGCTGTGCTGCTGTTGCTGCCACGGTCCGCCGAGAATGTGCTTCGGTCCGCCGAAACGGTCGCGGATGGTCGCGGAGCGACCAAGCTTTTTGGGTGGTGAAAACGTCAAAAAGGTTGCGTTCAGCTGGATCACTTGCCTTAAACCGCATATGGTCAGGAGGCAAAAAATCGGTTTGTCCATGGTATGTGGGTACATGACAAAGCTTGCTCAGCAGACGATTATCCCACTAAGGTTGTATTTGTTTGGAGCCATGCTTTTACGGCAGTCTGCTTCTTCAAACACCGCTGGTCCCGCTGGTCGCTCGCAGGATCCCTGCGGCATGCTCAAGGGCCTCAATGCCCAGCTCAGATTCAGGTCCAGTGGTTTGGACGACACGGTCTCTGAGCTCATAAAGTTCACTTGCCGATGGCCTCCAACCCAATACGCAGCATTATTAGCATGAATATGTTCATTGGTTTTTACTTCAACCACCTCAAAAATCTCAAAATAGTATACTTACATATACTTACTATTACATATTATACTTACTATTTTGAGGTTTTTGGTACGGTGTAGTTCCATAGTAGGGTTTATCGTTGGTCGTTGGGGGTCGATGTTTGGGTGAAACGGGAGTCGAACACGGCGCTTTTGTTTGTGCGTGTTTACGTGTATTTACTCAGACCCAGTGGTCGTCAGTGGTTTAAGGGTGTCTCTTTTGAGACATGTGCAAATTCACGGTCATTCATGGTCATGCCAAATCTCCGCTCGAAAAAGAACAAGTCGCGATCTCTTGGAGATACACCGATTGATAGCGATATATAGCGACCATTATCATGGATAGTTTTTTTTCACGTTCTTTTTGCAGTTCTTGCCTGGGTTCCTGGAATGTGAAAATCCGGTTCAGACATTAAGACAAGGAATACACAGAACAGCTGTGGAAGAGGTGCTTTGAAGTGGGGGAGCTGCGATGCAAGAATAGATTCTGAAGACAACTGCATGTATATGTTGTTTGTGTTTACAATGTAATTAACTCCATCTCTTTGGTTTTGAGATCGCATCTCTTTAGGGTCACCTGTCGCAGGATCCTCCGCGGCGACGAGACCGCCTGGGCCGAAGTCGCGCGATCGGCCGAAGGTGCGACGGGCGGGCGTGCCGTGCCGCCGGCGCGCGCGAGCCGAAAGCTGAGGTCCAGAAGATGTCCAGAGCTGTGAGCTTTGTGTTACCTGGGAGTTCTGGCATGGTGCATTTTTTTGGCATGGTGAGTGGAACTTGGTTTGGGGCTAAGTTGCTAGCTGCCAGTTATTGTGTTATATGTTAATGTACTTAGTTTGATAAGTTATATACAGTATATATAATATGTAATGTTATATATATACATATACATATATGAGAGAGTTTGAACTATAGTTGCTAGTATGACATCGCATAGCTGTGTCTCAGCTTCAAAGAAGCCCCTGAAGCCACCCTGTCTAAATGAAGCGCGAAAACATCGTTGACGGTGCATGTTGAATTGAATTTGATTTAGATCCTGTTTCATCCACACTACTGGTAGCAGATTTTCTGCAAGTTAGCATCCAGACTGCCCAGATGGACATGCTAGTTTAAGAATGGAAGGACCTGGATAACAAGATCTAGACCTTTCAAGTGAAATCGTAGATTACCGTGATTCTAAAAAGAATAATATGAAAACCGTATAAAACAGTAAGATCGTTACTCTATGTTACTCTTGTCAACAAATGTTTGAACATTGCGAAGCTGATCACCGCAGGGCGCGATCTACCGGATATTGCGGCCGGGGCATTGTCTCGAGGCCAGTCGTGAGCAGCACCAGGTCGTTCCTACCGTCGTTGGTGAGGGACAAAGTCACTCGAATTAGTGATGTATACTGGGTGTAGTCATACCGTTTGCACACTAATTGGAGGGGCCTGTGGTCTATGTATACTGTCTACGGTCGTTCCTTTTTGTTCGCATTTGGCCTTTCAATAAAACACTCAGACAATCTCAGACACCAGGCTTGGCAGTGTAATATACATGCTCAGGACACCCGGCATCGCAGTGTTTCTTCTAATGATTCAAGATGATTCAAGTGCCAACAACCCTTTGGATCCCTCTAGTATGTCAATGTTGATGCTGCCACGTGTTTGAAAGTGTGTGGCAGGCTTGCCTATTCCCAAGAAGATGGCAGAGGCCGCTATTGGCAGGAATACAGGTTGTTGATGGTGGTTGATTGTTGATGGCGTTGTCTTGCACTGCACTCTTGGGCATATCCAGCGGAAATCGAAGGATCATGAAACTAAGACGTGCCCCGAACATTCAGGGGTAAAGATTAAGATTGAATCCAGTAGAAGTCCTCATCTCAACGCCAAACAACAGAGCCAACAAACCGATCGGAGACCAACTCGTATTGGTGACGTGCCAGGAACTACTCGAATATTGCTTCAGTGCTGATTTGCCATTGTTGGCGTTGAGAGGCACAAGCGAGAGTGGCACAACAATACATCATGCGCGGGCCGTGTTTGTTTCTTCCCCTGATTGAAGTTGCAAATGAGAACTACAGTGGCAGATCAGTTTGATATAGTTTGATTGCCTTAGCTCTTGGATGCTCTTGGTGTGTAAATCTTTGAGACCAAGGATCAGTCAGCCCGAGTTCTGATGTTGCATCGTGGAATTTCGACTGGACCAAATTCAGCCAAATCTCATTCGCGCTGCACCGAACCCTAGCCGGTGCATCGTTCGGAAACTCCAGTCCTCGCCCGCATCGATGGGAAGCGCTTCTTGATGCCGGCCTTGGAACGGGTTCGGCCGCCCAAGCGTTGAAGCGAGCGCCGGATCCTGGGTTCGGTTGAAACATCGAGGCTTGTGAAGGATAAAGGTGGAAAACCGAGGGTGAAGAAGAGCCTCTTCCTATTGAATGTGTTTAGATGGGTTCGGTCCTTTGCCGTTCATGTTTGATCATGTTTGATGGCGAACGATCATGTCATCGGACTGCACACCCACCGTTCTTCTCAGTGAGATGATGGACGGGTTCAGGTCATCGGCCGTAAAAGCGCACTGCTTGCATTGTTGTACACCTACCCTTTATCAGGTGTGCTTTGATGTTGGACGCTACTGATTTGTTCATCGACTTCAAGATGTTTGAGACCTTTGTTGAAGACTTTTGAAACCATGAAAATCCATGAAACATGTGGCAACTCCAGCTAGTGCTTTTCGGAATGTCAGGGTCCATTTCCGCCGGTGACCCGGTAGCGTTTTTGGCTCCAAAAGTTGTTGGCTCTCCGATCAGTGACACTGGATCGTGCCATGTCGCGCTTGGCCTTATGGTTCACCCTGTGCAACTTGGAATTGTGATGAGTGATGTCTTTGAGGTACTCAGCCTGGAAGGTGCTCAATAGAAAGCTTTCTTATTATACTGTACAGTATATATATATATCTAACATTTATGTAAGGTTAAAACCTCCGCAAAAAAAAGCATCTCAGTGACTTTATAGTATAGCTTCATCTAGTTTCAACATGTCTCAACGGAATACAACAACCCCCATCGTCAAAAAGATGTCAAAAGATGTCAAAAGGGAATCCGTAGTTTTCCAAGCTTCAGGCAATCTACAGCAGCTCCTTTTTGCACCTCAAGACGTCGGCATTTAAGGTGACATAAGATACTGTAACATCCACAGGGGGACACGCACAAACGGCATCACTCAGCCATACTGGGCCATGGCAGCGGAGGGGGTAGGCAGGCGCCACGCGATGAATTTTCAACCCAAATAGCGATGGCCTCCAACCTGGAAGCCTCCAACCAGGGAGGAGCGCGGTGACTCGACCCAGGCAGCGCGGTGAGCGCCACCCTCACCTTCGAACACCTGGGTTCCACTTGGACCATCCACGCCCATGACAACGAGCTCCACGTCACCGGGGACTGCCCAGAGGATATGTGGTGTGGCTTTGGATTCAACAAGGAGCGGACGGGTGAAATTCACGGAGCTGCCCAGGGGAATCCGACCGCTGGGGGGTTGACAACCACCGAACGGGACTCCCGCGCAATGTCCGAACGTGGCTCCGATGCCGAAAGGGTCCTTTTTGTGGACGAGAATTGCTTGGGGTGTGACGCTTCGCTCAAGTGGATTTGCCACCACCAGCTGCTTGCAATCGACAAGGTAGTTTGTGGGGCCAATATGGGCTAAAAGAACTTTCGAAAGGGTTCGCGGTTTGTTTGCCACTGCCACTACGCCTTTGCATAGTCTTTTTGTGGATCCGCTGAAATCTAGCACTGGTCACTCGGCAGCCTCTAGCATGCATGATGGGGCCGATATTCCCAATGGCCATTCCTTCCCCGGAACAGACATTGGCCCTGAAACCTACTCCTGGGAAGCTTATGCTTCGTGGAGGAAGAGTAGTAATTGTATCATGTTTGGAACACGTGTCTCGAAAGAGGCTGCCACCACTCGCCACCCCTAGAAAGAGAAATTCATTGTAAACTCACAGTGGGGGTCCCAGCATCACTTTGAGACATGACAACTGTGGTGTTCCGAAGAAGAGAGCCTTTTAGTATTTGTTTGTCATTGTTTCTTTGTCCTGGTCCCCTAGCACGGCCAAGCTATCACCCTTATCAGGCTTTGTTCTGATCCAACGTCGGACACTGCCGGGGGACAGTGCCGGGGGCTCCGACGCGACAGGACGCGGCCCAGATGGCGGGGGCAGTGCCTCGGCCGAGAGGGCGCTCCAAAGTCTGTCTCAGACTGCCTTCATTTGCCTTCCCAACGGCTGTATCACATGGAAGATGCATATCCACCATGGACCATAGTAAAGCTTCAGTCCATGAACGGACTTGGGGTCATAAACCCATCATAAACCATCGTAACTCAGAACATTTTGTTGGAACTTGGAACAAACTTTCATTCATGGGCTTTTCACTACAGGCCATGATATCTCAACAGATGATTCAGTTCCTTCATCAATGTTGAGCCGTTTCTTTCGTATCCTTCGTTTTGCTTCGGTCACCAGTGATCCCTTCAGGATGTCTTCACCTTTGGACATCATCAGGGCACGGATCTGCCCGACTGCCCTATGACCTGTGGCACCGGCTGTGGCTGCGGCTGCGGAACGAGGCGCCTCTCAGCACCGAAGACAGAGCCACCGGGCGAGCAGAAACGGACGAAAGGAGCAGAAACGGGGTGGAGGCCACGTTGCTGGCAACTCTGAAACAATATAGGGTGAGCCCAAACAGTATGAGACGTTTCTCGTTTTTTCTCAGTTCTGGACGTTTTCTTTTGTAGTGATAATGATCACCCATATATCTGTTTAGATCATTCAAGATTTTCTTCCAACCCTAGAGACTCTTCCCAGGTCATAATGCCTTCCAGTCTTTCAAACCTTCTATGCTTTTTCCTTCAGTCCTTCCAATGTCCTTCCTGAGGAATCCCTTCATCCCGCGGGTGCGCGACCTGAAAATCCAGCTGCCGAAGCCCTTCACCACGCCGGGCGCGGCCCACAAGCTCGACCAGGATTGGTGGTCCAAATCGGCTTGGCACTGGCACTGGGTCGTTTCGGTGGTACTGCGATGCTCCGAAATTCACAGGATCTGAATGGATCTGAGCATGATGTTCATGTGATTTTATCGATTCTAAGAATCCACCCCTGAAACTATGGGCCAATTGGCAGAGCCTTCGACCACATTCATCAGCACCGGCTCGCAGGTGGGCGGAGTGGTGGGTGTGGCCATGAACTCCGTGCTCTTCGTCAACGAGCATCCGGAGGAGAAGTGTTCACCCACGGACTCACGGACACGGTCGCATCCCGTGGGTCGCATCAACCCACCGATGAGTCCACCTTCAGCCCGGGCACAGGCTGCCCAGGGCCTTTACGGTCGACCGCGTCGATGTTTCGACTGTGGATTCCGTGGGTCCAGCGGCCAGGGATGTGTTGAGGTGTATGCGTTGGTGTGACCCCAGAACATGACCACAGCATAATTGAAATCCAACTATAGACAGGAGTCACAGGAGCCCACAAACATGTTTGGTTTGAAGTGGCATGCCGCACACGGCGGGGAGGAAAGGAAGGGCTTATTTTGGAGAAATTAAGTAATTAGATCGAATAGCGCCGTAATAGTGCCCCAAGACTTTTCGAAGGAGTTTTCTGATCTATTTGGGGGGACCGCATTATTCTATCTATGTATGTTTGCTTCATTGTGGTTGTTGGATGTTGTTGGATCTTTCTGTGTTTCTTTTGAGTGATGTTGCTTTGCGTTTTCAGGAGGGAATGACGTGGCTTTTTGACAACTGTGGTGGTCATGGCGACACTTACGGTCACCTGAGATTGCTTGTCTTGAGGATTTTGTGTATGTAGTATCTCTTTCTTGATGGCCAATCGCATAGAATAACAAAAAATCACATTCTTCATGTTTGTTGTAACGACTTGGCATGTATGTGGAGGATTTTGTGACACTTCCTGTGGTTTTTGACCAATTCCCGGAAATCTCAGGTCATTACCACTACCACGCGCCACCTCTTTGCCTCTTGAAGTCCTTGGGCGTCCCTGTCCCCAAGAAGAGCGCCTGGTGGAAGAGCGCCGGGGCGGCCGCCTGGCCGGAGCATGGCCCTGAGGTCCAGATCGGCTGGGCTCTCGATGGAGCACCGATCATGGGCCCCTTCAAAGGCCGCGGGGGCTGGCGCCATGTCGTTCGTCTTAGAAGAAGTCACCTGAATGATCCGGAGTCATGAAGAAGATAGAAAACTGCCAAATGAAGAAGAATTGTTCCAGAAAAGGTCCCCCCCCTCCATTCTGCCGATGTCTGCTTTGTGTTTCCTGTCTTCGACGGGAAGCCTCGCAGGATCCTATATTGGCTTTTCACCAGCTTGCAGTTTGTTCGTAGGTCAAGATCCAGTTGGACTCCTCAAGTGCCCTATTTTCTCAACTTCCATGACCAGGTGGCGTGAGAACTGAGAAGAAGCTCTTGGATGAGTGCCACGGTGCTTTTGACGAGCTCACGGGTGAGTATCGCTACTATTTGCTGCCCAGTGCACCTTACATGCCCCCCTGCTTGCGCGGAGCTCAGCTGGGCAATGTGTCCAGCTTTCGCTCGCGGAAGGATGGAGAGCCTTGCAGCAAGTCTGAGAGCCACAGCATGCAGACCTCCATCATGGCAGGTGGAAAGCTTCTCACTGGAACAGGACCGAGAAGTCATGGTCACGATGATGTCCAAGTACCCCCTGAAAGAAGGGAAACAAACCAACATCCCATTGGTTGGGGGTCTCCCTTATTGAAATACACATATGTTTTTTGTAATTATGTGCCTGCCACGACCCCCACAGCCTAAACACGTGGAGAGCTCATTCACGGAGTCGCGCTGCATATATTTCTTTGTATTTTTTTGGTGTGTTTGTGTCATGATCCTGGCAATCTTCAAAGAATATCCATCTCAGCCCTGAGGCTGATGATATGTTAGCAATCATGATAGGTGGGTTTCACGATCGCTTCACGCAGGCTCCAGTGTAAGGGCAAAGGATCCAAATAACAGTGTGTGGGAGCCTAGCGTCACATCGTTTGAAAGCGAGGATGCCCTGAGCATGCGATGTTCAAAGACGTCCACCGCGGGCTGCCTTTTGGGTTGAAGGGCAAGTTGAAGGGCAAGACAGCTACTTGGTCAAGCCCAGATGTTTTTGATATGAGTACTGCATACTGCAGAAGACTTGTGACGGTTCTCGAATATGTTCTCAGTTGCCAACCCCAGCTTTTTGTGTTCAGGTCCACTGACTCTAGCAGACTAGGCTAGGTAAGGCAGGCAAGGTATGGAGTCTTGACTAGTCTTGGTTTCTCTAATTCTCTAATATGCAAAAGCGCTTCGTAATGGTCACTTTCGAGCCCGATGCTTTTTAACATGACCGTACAAGAGACACAGAGATTGTTAATTTTTGAAGTCTTGTCTAAAAGAGGTAGGCACCAACCAATGGATGGAGAATGATGGAGAGGAAAAGAGACACAGCAAAGCAAAGAGAAATGAACGGGAGCGGGAGCAGGATAGAATCTATAGGAATGAAGGAGAGTGGACACCTGAAGTGTATACTCCTCACTGCTCGCAAGTACCGGCAGACTCAACTCTTCATAGATGTTTCCCTGTTTTGAGTTTTTTTTTTGCTACTTTTTGCTGATGTTCAACATTCTTCCAACCAGCTTTCACAAATTCAATGTCGCTATCGCCTTCTTTTCAAGCCTGGCATCAGTTCCGATCATCCGAACCAGTTAACACAAATGAAACTAAAACGTTATAGAGTCAAGAAGAGGACAAGGGCAGCAAGAAAGTGCTTGACAGGAGGGAAAGGAATGGATACGGTCTTTAGGGGTACTAGTAGATACTAGCATTTCAGGGACATCAGAGCAGGGTGTGAAATCAGAGCTAGTGCTTTTAATTTGATCGTTGGAGGTCGAAATCGACCGTTTTTGGCAAAACACTGAAGTCATGCCTAATCTCGTCCTCAGTCACACGGAGCAGCATTTGAAGGGCCGGGCACCGTCACGCCCCGAAGAATTGAACGACCGTCTCAGTCCAAGCATCCAGCGGGTGGTTTCGGTCCATGGGATGCTCTAGGGTCCGAGGAGTTTTGGTCGATGAACGAAACATCTCAAACTGCCACACCCAGTCCTTGTGATATGGACAGGGAGAAACATAGGTTGCAACCGAAAGTAGTGTTCTTGTAAGGGCAACGCTGTTGTCTTTGCTAGAATCTTTGTTTCCCTACTGCGAAAATAACAATATAAGTATGGTATGCATTCCCCTCCCCATCAGCCTACCAGTCAAAACCGTGACCTGGTAGCTATGTACATTCGTTTAGTTTGCATTGAATTAAAGATGCTTATAATATGCTATACTGCTATAATTGGACTGAAGGGCAATAGTGGTGTTAGTCAACAAGAGAGCAGATCAAACAACCTGGCAGACCAGGAGCCCCATACCGAACATCTTCCACTGAATGATATCTTCGTGCGTACATATATAATTACAAGGCATTACAAGGCATTCTTTCATTTTATGTATGTCAAGTCGACTGAGGCACGGCGCCTTGGTTGTGGCTGCGGCTGCGGCGCTAACAAGTATGGGACTTGTCCCAGTGCATGTGGATGCGGTGCCACTTGTGGATGTGGGTGCGGCACTACTACAACCGGATGTGGATGCGGTGCCACTTGCGGCTGCGGGTGCGGCACTACTACAACCGGATGTGGATGCGGTGCCACTTGTGGATGTGGGTGCGGCACTTCTACAACCGGATGTGGGTGTGGCACGACTTGCGGCTGCGGGTGCGGCACTTCTAATACAACCGGATGTGGGTGCGGTACGACTTGCGGCTGCGGGTGTGGCACGACTTGCGGCTGCGGGTGTGGCACGGCTTGTGGCTGCGGGTGTGGTTGCGGAACCGGCTACCAATGCAAAGGTCAAATGTTTTGTCACCTGGGCATGACCAAGAACACCAGTGCCATGCAGCCCGTGAGTTTGTCGCAATGCAACTTGCACGCCAGTTCGCCACCCATCACCATCGATGACAAGCAGGACATTGACAGGGAATTTGGACGAATTTGGGAGAGGATTACTAATGTATAATGATTGCTATATATATAACATCTGATCTACAATATGAAAATTGAGGAAATTCCTCAAAGCGGTAAAAGGGAGGAATACTTACCAGATGCCCATTTGAGGATGTTTGAGGTGTTCTCTGGAAACACACCTACACACCCTAATACGAACATGTTCAGCCTGACATGTTCAACTGATTGTTCTGTAACCACATGATTTCGCACCAGTGCTGGGCGCACCGAGCACTGAACTTGTCAACTTTTTGAGTGGGAAAGTGCAACTACACTAATGCGAACCGGCGAGCATGTTCGGTTCGCGCGTTGGTTGGATCGACCTGGGTAATTCGCCCATTGGCCACGGCTCACATTGCACGGAATCTCCAAGAGTGAGCCCACAAGCCAGCTGAGCTTGTACCAGCACAGGCTAAAACATATGAAAACATTAAACACGGGGATTGGAGAGCATGTCAAGGCAGGCAATTTGGATGGAGAAGGGAACTGCATGTGTTTCCTCCCAAGTGTGTGCTCCATGTGGATGTGCGTGGTCATTTTCCCCACGTAATTGCTGAACAGCTTGGTGTACCCTCCTCGCGGCATGGCGTACCTGGACCACCAAAAACGATATGACCATACTCATCCGACCATACTGACCGACATTTGTGTGTCCAACAAAAGCATTCCACCAAATCGGCCCACCCAAAAATCCGTAGGACTTCAGCGCATCCCGGCGGCATCGGGTTCCGGGGATGACTGAGAGGTTCCAGGGATGGATTCGGAGGCATCGGTCCGGGTTGGTGTCAGCTCGCCGGCTTGATACGTGATTAGCGGTTTTGGGATCGCCGCCAGCATAGAGTTTTCGCTATACTAGCTGGCTGGAGTCCAAAATGGGATGTTTGAGGGAGAAGCATGGACGGCTTCCCTGTGTGTCAGAGCTTCAGGTTGAAATGTGCCGAGATTGAGTTCCTCTCGCTTGATTTTGGTGCACCTCTCCTCACTCCTCCAAACGCTGGGTTCACTCCCCACATCTCCCAGCGATCGCCGGATGACCTCGCCTGTCTCACCGGTCTTCCTGCATTGGTGACCTGGGTGAGCTGGGTGCGGGGGCAGAAAACGGTCACAGGGTGTCGACCTCTCCGCTGCCCTTCGCGGAGAAGTCGGACTCATGTCGCGCCTCGTTTGGTCGTCCCGGGTTTGATAGGATGGGGTGAGTGGGCTGATGGCAGGAGTGCATCTGAGGAATATTCCCTGACCTTCGAGAACGGCCGGATGAAGGTCTCCGCGCATCGGGCCTTCAACACTGGAGACCCCACGGACTACGTGCTCGATATGGACAGCGTGGGTTCCGTGGGTGGCTGGCCAGGTGGTGTGTTCAAGGGATTGTCAGACGATTCAACAGAAGGGTCTTGGGCAACGGAAACTAGTGGGCAAACTACTGGGCGCCCAGGAGGGGCATCAAATAACCCGAACAGTCTTGAAGCAGAGAAGCGCAGTGAGCAAGGTCTTTGAAGCATTTGGGCTCAGCTCAGCTGCTTGATCTACTTCCGTAGAGTTAAACCGAGTTCAATATATTATTATTCAAAACACACAAGCTGGAAAGAGGACAAAGACAGAAGCTGGACAAGTAGCATATGTATGCATATGTCCGACCTGGAAAACTATCATGACTGCACTGTTTCCTTTCTTGTGGGTGTATTCTTGAAGCTAGAGGAGTTGTCAAGACTTGCTTATACTTGCTGTCGGGGGCCCCTGATCTTGATTTCCCGTTGTAGGACACGCAGTACTACGTGCTGTTGACGGTTGGCCAATCCATCAAGGTGGGCTACCACGGAAATTCGCGCACGCAGACCTTGGTGTGCGTCTCCACACTGTCAACCAAAGGCCTGGAAAGTGTGGAAGTGGAGTGGAAGGGAGGACTGGGGTGACGGTGGCTGCCAGGTGGCTATGGGTCTGGGAGGTGTGATGAGTTGAGGTGTGGTATGCCACGCGATTGCAGCAACCCTTTATTTTGCACGAGTGTTATTCACGTAACAGTATACGAGCAAGCAGTTCACACCGGCTCACAAGGTGCGACTATGTGCGACTTATGCATGATGTCTATTTTCCGTAATGAATCATGGTGTAAGACCCCAGATGCACACCGTAGGACCTAGACAGTTGGCAATGAGAATCGATGATTGTGTTCCAAATGTTTTTTCCCTTCAAAAGTTCTGAAGTCTCACTGCCTCATGATGGGTCCGCTGCTGAAGCAGCTGCTCCCTGCTCGACTCTCCCTGTCTCGCTAGGTGAATGCAAGCTGGCCTCTGATTGGACTGGGCCTCCTGGAGATCAAAGCATCCAGATGTCATCCTCCACTCTGAGCCTCTTTGGAGTTCCCTTGCTGCTCGCGCTGGCTCGTGTAATGTGATCCTTTTCGGGCGGGGTAACGCTGGAGCTGATGGGGTGGTACAAGTTGAAGCTGACATGGTGATGGGCTTTGAATAGGTTGATTCATGTCCAACCAGACGTGGACCTCCATGTCACATATGTCACCAAACCCAATCCATGTGAAGGAAATCATCAAACCATATCAAACCCAGGGTTCAAGATGCTTCTATTTTTTCAGCTTTGTTCTTTGTCCGTTCTTCACTCCAGCCTGCCGTTCTCGCTCGGGATCTGGGGGGCCGGTCAGGCGCAAGACACAACCGTAATTCGCGAAAAGGAACACGACGGGAGCACAGTGCGGCTTGCGCCGGAGATGCTGCAGTCATGGGTAGTCATGTGAGATGACTTGTGATCGCTGATCCCTTGGTGACTTGTGATATCTTGTGATTATGTATATTATCATTGAAATCCCTGGTCTGCAGTATCTTTCACCCAATCGGGTTCTTTAAAGGAGCCTTGCCCAGGACCGAGATAGAAGGCCAATCTGCAGACGAAGCTGTCATCCAATCATATCCAATCTGTGTTGTCCCCTGAAATTGTTTTATAGCAACAAGTGTCAGAAAGCTTCATTCTTTTTCCACGCAGGAAATGGCCTGACGCTCTCTTCTGTTCCCTCACTTTGCACGATGAATAGGAATACTGCAGATGGTGCTCCCAGCAATCGAAGGAATTTGTCGGATGGAACAAGTCCATCTGGTTGCCAGGGCTGCCATCATTTGGGACCATGAAATGGCAGGGTGGTTGGCAAAGACCACCATTCTTGTCTTCTGGGGCTGAGTTGAAGGGGACAAAGTGAACGGCCCTTTCTTCATCGCCAGTTGATTAAACTTCTAATGACATCTATATACAAGGGCAGATGAAACTCTTTGGAGAGCCACCACAGAATCAAGGCAATAGGGATGAAGAGGGCAACTTTATGTAGGAACATCTCGCAACCTTCCATCATGTTTTAAGATGTTTTAAGCCAGTGTGATCTCCTTCATGTTCAAAGTCGCCTCTGCAAACGGTGGACTAGACCTCTGCACAGGACACTGTCGGATAGACAGTTCCTTTGCTTGTTTTGTGGTCTATAGTTGTTGCAGTTGGATGAGTTGTGCGCATCTCAGGGCTTTGTTGGGCAGGCTCTCCATGGCTTTTTGTATATTGGAGTCTGCGACAGTCAAAGTCAAACTGCTGCACCAAAAGAAGACTGCTACACCGCTACACCAAACTAAGTCATCGCTGTTCTTTCTGCACTATATAAGTCATCGCTTCATTCTGCCTAAACACTTCGGTTGGACGTGTCGTGTTGGTGGAGAGGCCGGCACACAGACCTGGAGGCGTGTAGCGGAGAGGCCGGGAAGGTCAGTGATGCGAACGAGCAAAGCTGATCTTCAGTGGATACGTTAGGGAAGACGTTTGGAGTCTATATTATAAGTATAAACGGTATAGGGCCCTTGCACATTTGGGACTATGAGTTGAATCTATTGTATCCGTCAACATCTTGGAGCAGTGTGGACATGGCAGAAAGGGACATTTGGCCTGCCGGGGCTCCTTTTGCTGGTCGCTTTTCGACCTTACCGGGCCCAGCACAATTGTCACTTTTGCCTTGGCACCTGCCTACTTTCCTTTGCGAACAGGGGGACTTCCATGTCGATCATGAAATATGTCGATCAATGCTGCCCCTGAAAGGCATGATGTTCGCACGAAAGATGCTTGCCCTTTGCAGGATCGTGGAGCAGATCAAGCCAGGACAAAAGCCATATTGGCTGAACCCGCCTGCATTGAAGTGCGCAGCCACCTCTTTCAGCCGAAGGCCACGTGTGGTGATTCAACTCCTGTAGGCTTGAAGTTCCAACTCCTAGGCTTGAGGCAGAGTTTCTGGAGATAGACTGAATGCGGGCGATCCCAGGGGGGTCCCCAAAATGGTGAGCCCTTGGCTGGCTGGTGGCAGGGACTGGGCTCCAACCCACATATCCGGCCCTAGAGAGAGAAGCCATGCAGGTACGCGATCCATGAAATCCAACGAGGGAGAAGCCAGTACAGGAGAGGTGTTTTTTTTGCGATGTCAGAGCCATCATGGTACACTGCAAACATGGAGCAATTTGATTGAGATTAGTGGGATGCCTGAAAGCAGCATTGGGCATCCAAGCTCATCCAGGATCATGTTGCAGTCCTTCCTGGCCTTCTTAAAGTCCAATGAAGAGAAGGAAACTTGGCTTCGAAGCTGAAGTACTGCGAGCGGCTTTCCCTCAATGTTGGACCTGTGGATGGTTGTTTCATATCGTTTCAGTTGCACGGACCTTACTGTTTTGCCTTGGTGCTGTTGTCCCCTGCTTTGAGTAGAGAAGCGTTTGCAACCCGGTCCATGGGCCAAGGAGGGCCAAGGGCTTTGTTCTCATTCGTTGGCCATGTTGAGGTGAAACCGAGATGGTGACTTGATCCTTTTCAAGTGAAAAAAAGGGAGCCAGGCAACTCCCAGCCTCAAGTACCATCAAGTATACCTACACACTTACTCGCATCATTTGGGGATTTTGGGCAGGTCACAGAAAAGAGCTAGTTGAGTCATCCAAGTCCAAGATCGAACCCCACAGCCGCCCAGGAGTTCCTCGCAGCACCCTGCGTCTTGGCGAATCGCCGTGGAGGCGCGCGGTGTAGGGGACCGGGCGAAGACGCACTGCGATTGGAACATGCCACCGGAGGGAACAGACGGTCAGTCTAAGAGAGCAATGCATTCTTGGTGGCCCCTTTCGGGATCTTGGAAGGTGTTCATGTTCGAACAGCGCTTTTATCTTTTGGGGGTGATGAAACTTCTGCACTTCTGCCACAGTTCGACATGGAAAGTTGGGGATAGACATCTCAGCTGGACATGGAGAGCATACATGGGCTTGCTACATCTCTAATAGGGAGGTTCCCCGGAACAGCCTCAAGGGTCCTTAACGATCTGAAAGGGCCTCGAGCGGCGAACACTGACGATGACAGTCTCCTCGTTTGGACGAGCAGTCGTGGAAATTCAATCCGGGAAAAGCATGGAAAAGCCCCAATTAGGCAGATCAGTGAAGCGGAGACCTTGTTTATGAACTCTTCGTGACCTAGCAGTTTCAGATGCACAGATTGTCCATTGCAAGCTGACACCCAGGTGCTGAGTGTCCGATCTGTTTGGAGCCACTGTGCAGGCGGAAGATTTCTCACGCGGTCACCGGGCGGTCACGCGAGACGGTTTTGGGGTGGAACGCTTTTCATCGAGTCGAACGTGGCTGTTCATTCAAGTGAGTTGAACAAATAAACCCAGTAATATGTATTAAGTAAGGAAGGTTCCCAGAGGTTCAGAAATAGCTTGGCCACCGCTTGGTATTCTGTTGCTTAACTTGGAGATGCGACCTTGTCGCGCTAGCAAAACGCAGGGTTGCGCTAGGTTTGGAATTGCTGTGACTTGAAGCTAGGATAATGATTTTAGAACGGGTTATTTTTTCAGCTCAAGTGTTTTGGCCGGTGACCTCCTCTCTTGTTTTCAGCTAATCTTTCAGACCGTGTCAAAGCTTTGGAAAGCAACCAGGTTGCGAATGTCATCTATCATTAGTGAGAGCTGGGTACCTGGTCTTGGGTATGCTCATCAGCCCTGGGAACTGATTTCAGAACATATGAAAACATCATAGAATATTCAAAAACATTATATAAAATTAGCTTTCATTATAAAACATTGAAACAAATTATTCCACATAAAAACACATTATTTCACATAAAAAACAAATTATTTCACATCAAAACCAATCATCCCAAAGTCACATGCCAAGGCTGCAGCTCTGCAGTGCATTCAGACACTTTTTTTCCTTGTCGCACTACTTCCTTTGGTACTTCTTGGGTGGAGGCAAGGAACTCACAGAGTCATTCAACTCTGAAAGGATGTCCTCAGAAATTACACCTGGCACCTGGACAGCATCAGCTGCTAAGCTATACTCAACTTGATGTGACAGCTTTTCCTGCCACACCTGCCAAGCATGCTGATGTACCACAGAAAGCTTGCTTTTCCATGACTCAGGATCCTGATGTTGAAAGGATCTGCTGAAAGAAGAAATATGAAGTGAAGGTAGGAAACTGGCTGTCCATCTGTGGTCATTTCCTTAGTTGTTTCACATGCCCTCTGCAATATTGACCATACAATTAAAGAAATAATATATATAAAAGTGAAACCAACACATGTACCCACAAAAGTAAAAGCCACTGTACCCACAAAAGCCCCTGTAAAATTGCTAGCCAGCCGCCATTGAGCCTGAGGGTGCATCCAGGAGGGCTGATCCTTCCAAGGGTTGCAGGAGATGCAAACATCTTGGGCCCTCTGAACCTGGCTGCAGCTACTGCTTGTGATGATGCTGGTTCCTCAGCAACAGTATCAGCTTGTGATGGTGCTGCTGGTGGTTCTTCAGCTGCTTCAGCTGCAAGGGCCTCAGGTTGTGTGCAGGTTGGCTCAGCTGTGAGTGGCTCAGGTGGCTCAGGTGGGGCTGTGAGTGGCTCAGGTGGCTCA